GGGAGGAAGGAAGGAAGGAAGAAAGGAAGAGAGGAAAGGAGGGGAGGGATGGAAGGAGGGAAGAAGGGATGGAGGGAAGGGAGGAAGGGAGGGAGGAAAGGAGGGGAGGGAGGAAAGAAAGTAGGGAGGGAGAGAAGGAGGAAGGGAGGGGAGGGAGGAAGGGAAGGACCTGAGGACAGGAGAAGCTCTCAGCAGCCTCATGGGAGCTGAGGTGTCTCCAATCCAGCCTAGAACCTGGTCACATCTCAATCAATCATATTGAACACTGATTAAGCACAAGAGGTCATAACTACCCACAGTTCCTGGACACTGGAATATACCCTACGGTCTGTGAGCCCAGAGAGGAGCCTCCAGTGGTACAAAACTGAACTCTGAACTCTGTTCATGGAGAAGATGGTGACTGGGTGACATGGGGCCCAGGCTGACAGCAGGTCACAGCATCAGACGCAGGGTGGAAGACGTACCAGATGTGCCAGAAACCCAAAGGCCAAGGAGACAGGAGCTGAGACCGAGTTAGTACGGCAGGCTTACTAGACCTGACTTTCAACAGCCTGTACCAGCAAGACTGCACTCTGCTGGGGAGAGAACAACCTGATATGCTCCCCTCATCCGTTTCAACAAGGTCTAAGCTTATGTTCCTCTGCTAACAAAATCTGGACTGCTCAGGAGAAAGAGCAGATTATTCGTGGCCAACAGAAAGAGACAACCTTTCCTCCTGTAGCTGTAGACCGAAGGAATTCCACAAAACCACAGCCACCACCTCCAATCCACAGCCTCACTTTCCGAGGTGTCGGTAGTCAGCGTCTATCAGTAAACATTCAACGGAACATTCCATCAGTAAGAGAGCCACACGAATTAAATCTCAAGTATGAAGACTCAAGCAATGAAACTCCTCCCGCATGGTGAGTCCTGGTGTCCATGATACCCCTTAACTGAGCCATCAACACATCCTTGGTCCACCCTACCCTCTGTCCAGAGGTTACCCCGGGATTCATATTCACTGCCTGCCTCAATTACCACAACTGTCCCAGTGTGGCTGGGCTGGTATTACTAACTACAATTTTACCTAACAATGGCTGTAAACTGCAAGAATCATGATGCTGATCCTTCAGACAGGTCAAAGAGAAGTCATAATGAGCTTTCTTTAAGGGAAAAGTATATCATATAATCACCCCTATGATACCTATGATCAAGAGTACATAGAACAAAGCTATGGTCAAGAATATAGAGAGATTTCAGTACCAATCCATGGCTTCAAGCTTCCACTGCTCGGCATGGGAAATGGCCCTGCTACAAGAGTAAGGAGACTCGACTGCACTTCTACGTATTTATTTATTGTCGGTCGTGGGGCTTGAATTCTGGGCCTGGGCGCTGTCCCTCAGCTCTTCAGCTCAAGGCTAGCACCCCACCACTTGAGCCACAGCGCCACTTCCAGCTCTTTTCTGCTTATGTGGTGCTGAGAAATTGAACCCAAGGCCTCATGCATGCGAGGCAAGCACTCTACCACTGAGCCACCTGCCCAGCCCCATTGACTGCACTTTTAAAGGGGGAGAACCATGCCTCCCAGGAGAACTACCTCTTTCCACTGCTTGAAACGAAGGAAGTTTGTTAAGTAAATGACATAAGCCTGGAGATTAGAGATAATTTGCCAGCACACGTGTGTGCTGTGTGGAGCGCAGCTTGATTCACAACTGAACCCAAGCAACAGCTTGATGAGAAGACAACAAAAAGCCAGAACCATGCCTGTCATCCAGGACTGCCGTGCTCTTGCGATGAAGCGGCCCGTCATCGCAGTGCAGTGTGCATCCAGTATTCCATCCCAGCGCAGCAGTCAAATGGCTCAGGCTGCTTCCCATTTCTGCTGAAACCGAAACCTATCTCAACACAACCACACCCATTAGGACCAGCCCTTTCAGTGCTACCACCCCACACCACATGACAGGCCTTGGTTGAAGGGCAACCTCCACCACACAGGGGCCTCTCAGTAACCCACAGCACTGACACACGAGCTGCAAATAATCCTGCTTAAAATCAAAAGGAGAGGCATTGCTATTTTAAAATCCCAATTATACACCGGGGTTATATTCACCTTGAAATCCATTTTCATCTTTATCATCGTTTTCTGTTTTGTTGGTGGCAGTTCGTTGTTTTGTTTTTGTGCCAGTCCTGAGGGTGGAACCCAACCTGGATGCTGTCCCCAGTGCTTTTGCTCAAGGCTAGCACTCTGGTGCTTGAGCCACGTCTCCACTTCTGGCTTTGGAGTGGTTAGTTGGAGATAAGGGTCTCAAGGATTTTCCTACCTGGGCTGCCTTCAAACCATAATCCTCTACTTAAGAGGTCAAGTAGCTAGGATCACAGGTTTAAGCCTGTGTTTTAAGTTTATTTTATAAACTTAAAAAACAAAAACAAGAACAAAAACAAAAAGAAACCTCACAAGGCTGAGGCATCTTATTGAGTGCCAGCAAGTGGGCGCAGCTGGGCCCAGCGTCTAGTCCAGGGATTCTCTGGCCATACTTGCTGCCTTCCTTGCTATAAAAACTTAAAGCACCAGGCACCGGTGGCTCACACCTGCAATCCTAGCTACTCAGGAGGCTGAGATCTGAGGATCGCAGTTCAAAGCCAGTCTGGGCAGGAAAGTCCGTGGAACTCTTCTCTCCAATAAACCACCAGAAAACCAGCTGTGGCTCAAGTGGTAGAGCACTAGCTTTGAGCTGAAGAGCTGAGGGACAGCGCCCAGGCCCAGAGTTCAAGCCCCAAGACCGACCAAAAAACCAAAAAAAAAAAAAAGAAGAAAACAAAGCTTCACACCAGGGAGTCAGGTGAGGGCCCTAAGCTGGGTGTATCTCTCAGGAAACAACACTCTAAGGGCTTCCGACCTGGCAAGAGAAAGTAACAAGAGTTCGATTCACCTCCCCAACCTGAGGGGAACAGATAAATCTGGTCCGTGACCAGAGGTTTGCGCTGACAGCCTGAGCTGGGGAGTGTGAGCTCAGATCCAGGCAGCTGGACCTATGAAGAATGAAGAACGCACAGAGAGCCCGAGTCTGAAGTCCTGGCTGAGCATTGAGCCAGGTCAGGTGAGGAACACATACAGGCTGGAGGGGGCATACCTGTCACTCAGACAGGCCAGGAGGGTCTATGTCAGCCCCCAACAAGAACGTTCTGGAATCTGGTAGGATTTAGGAGAGTACTCACAAGAGCCTTGCCTCAACACTGGGGGACAATTAACAAATCTTAAATGCAATGCTCAGAAGGATCCATCTCTTTCCAAGACACTGAAGTGCAACCCAAAACCAGGCTGAAAAACAACAACAACAACAAAAAACAAATCTCTGTTATCTAGCAAAGTAAAATTCAAAGTATAGCACATCTGTAATCCTAGCTGCTCAGACGGCTAAGATCTGAAGATTGTGGCTCAAGCAGCCTAGGCAGGAAAGCCCATGAGTTTCTTAACTCCAATAAACTACTGAAACGCCGGTGTGGGGTTGGGAAGGTGGCTCAGTGGTAGAGGGCTTGCCTTGCATGCATGAGGTCCTGGGTTCAATTTTTCAGCACCACATAAACAGAAAAAGCCGGCAGTGGCACTATGGCTCAAGTGGTAGAGCACTAGCCATGAGCTGAAGAGTTGAGGGACAGTGTTCAGGCCCAGAGTTCAGGCCCCACGACTGACAAAAAAAAAAGGTGTGGTGGATCTGTGGCTCAAGTGTTAAAACACAAGCCTTGAGTGAAAAGCTCAGGGACAGTGCCCAGGCACTGAGTTCAAGCCCCAAGACTGGACAGAGTCCAGGTCCTCAGTTCAAGTTCCAGGACCAGCACACACACACACACACACACACACACACACACACACACACACACGCACATGCATATGCATACACACACATACACACTATATATATAAAGTATATGTATAGTTATATATATATACGTATATAAAATAATGTATATAAAATGTTTATATAAATGTAAATTAAATGTATTTATGTATATACCAAATATCTGTGTGTGTGTGTGTGTGTATATATATATATATATATATGAAACAACAATCCTCAAAATGAAACCTAATATAAAAGGAACAGTTTTCACCTAGATGCCCAGCGAGTGGCAGGACATCTTCACACAATCTAATATGTAACTGGAGTTGGTGGGGACAGGGAGGAGTGACAGAGAAACTGAAAAAGAAAACTTAAAAGGAAACTAGAGACCTACAGATCCATCAAGATTAATACACTGCAAACATGTAAGCCTACACCAGTGCACATGGTAATCAAATCATTCAAACCAATGCAAAAGAGAGAAAGCACCGGAGACAGATCACAGGCTGTGTGCAGACAAACAGGAGGACAGCAAAGGTTCCCGTAGTGTGGTTGGCATGGCTCTACCTCTTCTGCTGTTCTCCTTCTCCGTGCTGGCATCAACTTCCTGCTCTCGACGCGGCTCACCCGTTCCTCTGAACACAGCCAGAAGGAAGAGTGAAAGAAGAGGACAGTATCCAGTTGACATTGCTCATGTTCCTTTGCTTAATGATAACAACCTGGCCAGGTACCCACAGTTAGCTGGAGAGCCGTAGAAGGGGATGCTGCACCGGTGCCAAGCTACAATTCTGTCAAGATGGAAGGGAGAACTGGTACCTAGGCCCACGTGTGGCCCATCCAGGATTGGGAATGACGCCCACATAGCCTATGCAGAGGCAAGCACGTGATTCTTGTCTTCTGGTCTTGGGGTAGGAGGCAGTCTCCAGCTAACAGAAGTTATCAGATCAAGTCTGTTATCTACCCATCACGTGCACAAACAGAGACTTCTTTTTTAATCTTGTTACAATTTAAAGGAGGGGGAGCAAAGCCAGGGCCTTCCTCCCCTCCCAAAGCCCACAAACTCCCCATAGCTACTCACTCACTTACTCTGCTTCCACGGCCCAGTTCTCTTCTGTATCACAGATGTACAATACTGAAAAGAGAAACTGCTCTCCAGACAAATCAATACCCAGGATGACGGCATGGATTGGAAACCCATAGCAAGTTTATTCATTTGCAAGAAACATAAAGAAAGCATTGAATATTTTTCTTGGCCACTGGTGTGAGTTTTTCAAAACATCTTAATTAAATAAAATCAACAGTATAATTAGATGCCATATTTTGCAATGAACCCTACTTCTATTTACTAGCTGCAAAAGTATTTTCAATCGAAATCAATGTCACATTTAATATACATTATATATAAATTATCTACAGTTCTTTTGAAAGGCAGTAGAATATCAATACCACACTTTATTATAAGATGGCATATGATAAATCTGGTAAGGCCTTACATTTAATTGTTTTGAGTTAAGTCTTCCTAAGAAGTGGTAGGCAGGATCAAAATAATTTATTGATCCATCTATGGTTAGAACGGGAAGGAAATTAAATAAATCACCTGGCTCAGCCTCCCATTCAGACAGGATTATTAGTCCCGTTTGGACTGAGTAACGAAGCGCTATTGGATGTGAAGTGACTCAGCCAGGAACACACAGCTATTAAACTTCCCCTTTCTCAGCTTTTTTCTAATCAAACAAATCTCAGAGCCAACTTCATATGTAATCATAAGACATTCAAGTTCAAGCTACTTGAGTTAAAAAAAAATTCCCATTCTCAAATTCACTGTGCTTATTGAGTAAGAAGTAAATCTGTGTAATGAAAACACATAACAAACACTGCACTTCACATCTTGGCTTCAATTTTAATTAGTGACTCACAGCTCCTACACTAAGGAAGCGCGTGACATAAACATCAATATAAATAAATTGCTGGATTGGCTGGGTTCGATGCAAACTGCTCGTTACATTCAGAGCTGCATCTCTGAGAAAAGAGTAGGATAGAAACAGCAAAACAGTGAGAGGCGTGGATGTGTCTGCACACTCCAGAGGCTCTGAGCCTCAGACACATCATCAACAGCTTCTTTGTCAGCAATCCCTATGGCAAATGGCTCAGGAGGAATGTCCTCTGACAGCTAACACTTGGCTGTAGGCTCTGGAGGGGAGGGAGCGGCTGCAAACCCATCACAAGGATGCTCAGAGATCCTGATGATCCAGTGATGACCCCGCCTTCCATCCAAGATGGCGGACTCTCCACTGGGCTGGAAGGTACTCCTGATTGCTTCAGCACACCGGGTGCTCGCAGGCTAAGAAAAACCTTAGCAAGTTTTAGTTGTCATGAAATCAGAAACATGCTCCAAGAAGATGGTTCATAAGACTAAGGCGAAAGCGATTGCTGGATGGATCCGTGAGTCAGAAAAGAGGACAGTGGTAAAAGTAAAATGAAAACACCCGGGCTCTCTCCCTGCAGGAAGCATGGAAGACACATCAAGGGAAGTTGCATAGGAAAAGGGTTGGCTTAAGATGAAGCAGACATCTGTCCTGGTGGGCTGGCCAGAGCAACTCCAGTTAATTACCAGGGTTTTGGATCAGCTGTAAAACCTTCTGCAGGACCTCTTCCCTGGAGGGACTGGCGTCCACCACCAGGCAGCTTGGATTCTCCATCAGCTGGTAGGACTTTTGCACCCTGGGGACAGGCACAGGGAGGAGTCGGCCTTACGTTCCACACAGCCACCCCTGCAGAGCTGACTTTCCTACACTGACACAACCAGCCGGAAGCAAGGTGTCTACCCTCTTCTTCTCAGTGCTCCCTTTATTAGTGCTCCCTTCATCAGTGTTCCTGCCCAGCCACCAGCCAGGCCCCCAGGAAGAACTTCAACGGGCTTGGGTTGATACATGACAGATCAGGAGTGCTCTTCAATAGCTAGCCTTTCCTGAATCCCTGTTACCTGCCAAGCTCTAGCCTTCTGTCCAATGCTTCCCATTTTTATAGTCAAGGTGAACTAGGAAGAACTCTCATTCTGCAGAGTAGGAGGGTGACGCTCAAAGAGGTTAGGAGCCCAGAGTCAGGGCCCAGGTCCAGGGAAAAGATAGTCCCTGCTGTTTCTGGCAATGCTCTGCTATTGCAGTAGGAGCCGGCTGGCTGGGCCTGCCTAGCCTGGTGTCTGCCTCTTGTGTTTCAAACCTGGGGACCACGTCACTCGTAAAGCCAGTGCCCACCCAGGCTCATCTCCAGGTGGGGACACCCACTCCTCACCCCCACCTCGCCTTGGGGCCACCTACTTCTGACGGAAAATGCTGTTGGCCTCAAGTTCAGCCTCCTCTCTGGTCTTCTCCAGGCCACGGCCCTGCAACCTTTGTATTCTCTCCTCGGGACTCACGGTGAGCAGGAGGACCAGGTCGGGCTTGAGCAGGTCTCCCGGCCACTGGTATACGGGGTGGTGGGCTGGGGGCAGGTGCTGCAGGCCCCCACTCACCTCGGTGGCGATGGCATAGGTGGCCGTGCTGTGCCAGTACCTGAGAACAAAGGAGGGGGTGAAGATAGCACCAGAGAAGGGCCTGTTCAGGACCCCGAAATCAGGCTGGCCATACAGAAGGCTTCTCAGCATTCAGCAGACTAAAGACACTTGCATTTCATCCTCAAAACCATCAAATATAAGAAATCAGAAGCAGCTAGAAAGCCAAGCTGGCTCCTGACCAAGCACGTACTGAGCTAAAAGTGCCTTGTCCTGCAAGATGGGTTTTCTGGCATTGGAGGACAACAGTGGAGAGGACAGATATGTTTGGTAGCTCCTTTGTGTTGAATGCTGTGTCTTGACCAAATAAAATCTAGCAAGCCCATCTAGTTCCTCCTTGTGAGATTTAACTTGCCTTGTGAACGCTTCCTTCAGGAAACCTTGAGCCAAAAGACCCCTGGTCTTTCCCCAAGCCCCAAGTCATTACATTGTGTTTGCTCAGCAAGTAGGTGGCAAGCGCAGGGATTTAAGTCAATACCCGCTTTGTCCTTCACACTGTGGGTAGAAGTTTAAGTCTAAATCTGTTAGGAATTTAGGAGCTTTGCTTAGTTACTGGAGAGGTGGAGACAAGCTTGTTTCTCAGTAAAAGGAAAATCATAACAAGAAACACAATGCCAGTGTGTCTACTCTTTGTAGAAGTCTGATGGCGTGTCACTGCCTGCAAAACGCATTCTTGGACAGCGAGGAATCTCCTCTCAGACCGCAGTGGGCTTTGTCTCCAGGCCTTTTTCCCTAATAAGAGTGAAGTTCTCAGCCAGCAAAACCCTTCCTGTGGCCCCCAGGCAGGATGGATAGCTCTTGGTCTGCCTCTCTGTGGCCTGGCATGAAATCTTCCTATCAGCTTCTCGCTGAATTGACTGAGCTGATAGCCTACACATGTCTCCTCCACTGGAAAATTCACCCCTGAGTGGGAAATGTCTTCCAGTCATCTCTGTATTTCCAAATCTGAAAACCATATCTGATACATACTAGATATGTAATAAATGAATATAGTTAACTGTGTGAATGAGTGAATGACAACTAGCTCATGTATTGTCATAACTCATTATATGAATGAATTCCCAAGTCAGAGGCCTGACTCTGGAGGACACAGCAAATCAGGTCAAGCCACTGGCCACACAATCAAAGAGAAAAAGCCATGGTGACAGGCAGAAAAGGCACACCAGGCAGTGCTAGCTAGGTGCCTGGGGAAGACAGGACCAGGGGTATCTGTGTCCTCGGGTGTGGCAAGAGCTCACAGACACAGGACAGAAGGAAGAGGAGGATAAAGTGTGTTATGGTAGCTGGTCCTGGTCCAAGTGTGGGCCTCACTGGCCAAGCGGGGCTTTATCTGAGATAAGAAAGCCAGCATTGCCTAGCAGGTAGGTTCTACGCTCATCACAGGATGTTTATCCATCAGATGCGTCCCAGAACCCAAGGGACAGCAGTAGGGGATGACCTAGAGCAAAAGAGACAGCAGCAGGCTACAGGGAGACATGCCAACCTTTACTCTGCTTTTAGTCGCTCACTGGGCATGGGCACGCCCAAGTGAAGCACTGGTGATTTTAGGGGAAAAAAAACAAACAAAACAGTTTCTTGGTCCTTGTAACAACAATACTCTTGCCCTGTTCGTGGCCTATTCTGATTTGAAGTGACTCAATGTGAAACTTCAAATTGATCATCAAAGGACTCCTGCCTACACACGTATTCCTGATGGAATGTAAAGAGGCACCATGCTTCCTTCTCTACATTGTCAATTCCTTTAAAATCCCTTCTCTCTCCCCTCTCCCTCTCCTCTCCCTTCTCCCTTTCCTCTCCTTTCTCCCTCTCAGGCAATACTTGGGTTTGAACTCAGGGCTTCATGCTCCCTCAACAGGTCCCTATTGCTTGCACTTCCTGCCCTTTCTGCTGTGGCTATTTGTGAGAAAGTATCTAGCTTTTATTCCTGGGCTGGCTTAGACTCTGATCCTCCTGTTTCACAAACCTTACTGTAGCTGGATGAGAGCGGCAGGCTGCTACACTCAACTGCTGCATGAAATAGGATCTAGCAAACTTTTTTACCCTATCTGGCCTCAAAATGCAGCCATGATGGGCACCGGTGGTTCACGCCTATAATCCTAGCTACTCAAGAGGCTGAGGATTGCGGTTCAAAGCCAACCCGGGCAGGAAAGTCCATGAGACTCTTAACTCCAATAAACCACTCAGAAAACAGGAAGCGGTGCTGTGGCTCACATGGTAGAGCACTAGCCTTGAGCTGAAGAGCTGAGGGAAAGCATTCGGGCCCAGAGTTCAGGCCCCATGATCGAACAAAAAACAAAACAAAACAACAACAACAAAAAAAAAAAACACAACCTTCCCAATTTCCAATAACTAAGCAAAAATCCTAAATTCTTTTTTTTTTTTTGGGGGGGGGGGGGTCCGGTCGTGGAGCCTGAACTCTGGGCCTGGGCACTGTCCTTCAGCTCTTCAGCTCAAGGCTAGCGCTCTACCACTTGATCCACAGTGCCACTTCCGGCTTTTTTCTTTTTGCTTATGTGGTGCTGAGGAATCGAACCCAGGGCCTCAGGCATGCAAGGCAAGCGCTCTACCACTGAGCCACCTTCCCAGTCCAGAAATCTTAAATTCTTAACAGATTTAGACTTAAACTTCTAACCACAGTGTGAAGGACAAGGGGTATTGACATAAATCCCTGCACTTGCTACCTACTTGCTTCGCAAACACTGATAAAAGTCACTTAAGTCAGTGTGGTTACATGAGCCTCACAAATGGAAGACACAGAGCTCCACCTTCCCTCATAGCTGTTGCAAAAACAGAAAAAAAGAAAACAACCTCATCGCACCTTATCAGTGTAAGAAGACAATACTTAAACCTTACCAGGCAACGTCTAATGAAAGCCGCAGTACTTCAGACTCCAGTAACCAGTACAGAGAGGACTGAAAAGGACAAAGCTTGTGAAGAGTCAATGGGTGCTCCTGTCACCCGTCCCTCCAAGCCCCCGTGCTCCTCCATACAAGTGCTCTGAGAACTCCAGGCCCCAGCAGCCCCCAGTTACACTGCACCCTGCCCGGATACCTTCCTGTGAATCACTGACCACACTCAAGACCAGAACCTACCCTTCCATTTTCTCCATCTGACGCCTTCTGCCCCAACTCCAGCAAGACTTCCCTTGGCACCTTCACCGTATTCACTGATTTGAGTACTCAGAGCACTCACCCTATTCACTGACTGGAGCTCTCTGAACAAAAACAGAGGCTAATCTCTTAATTTACAGTCTTCTGTTTGCAGGAAAAATCATCAATAAAAACAGACATTGAAAAGTAGTCATTTGGGAGCTGAACATGATAGCTAATTCCTGTAACCCCAGTGCTCAGAGGCTGAGGCAGGAAAATGGCAAATTCCTGGCCAAGTTGGTCTGCACGGGAAGACTCTGTCTCAAACAAAGAAATGCATCGCAAAGAAGTAACGGAAGCAAGGAAGTCAGCACCTCCACGAAGACTGCCACCCACCGTTCTCAGTGAGAGGAGGGACACGTCTCAAAGGGATTTCATTTTTAAAATCTTTAAACATAAGCAAACCCACCTGGACAACACACAGCTGCCCTTTACCTCTGACAAGGTGTTACAGTCTCTTCACAGACCAGAATCGCAGACAATTCACAGGCACAGAGAAGAAAAGTCAAGGGAAGAATGGAGAGACTGTTTCCTATAGAGTCCTTTCTTGGGGCTCTTTGTAAATAATCACAGCCTGTAGCCAACCATCAATTCTTTCTAGCTAGTTTTCCCAGGCACCAGGGAAACTGTTAGTTCACATATAATGCAATTTGATGGCAGAGAGAACACAGCTCTTAGGCCAAGGCACTGTATTTGAAGTGCTGGTTTCCAAGCATTTCCACCTGCATCTACACGTGGGATGCACATCACACATCTGGGGGGCAGGCAGGGAGGACTATGATACCACAGATCGGGAAAGCAGGAGACACAGTGCAGGCACCCACCTGCACAAGGAAAAAGCCTCAGGAAGTCACAATCCACAGAACGTGTCTATGTCCCAGGTCAAAGGTGGAACCAAACATGGTAACCTGAGCACTTTGACCACATGGTACACACGTCACTGGACAAAAGAACCTCCCAAGGTAACAAGACTTCTTAGGCTGCTCAGGTCACTTGAGGGTTGCCTATAGCTTTTTGACTTCAGCTGGATTTGCTAGTCATTTCTCCAAATTAAGACTTTCTGGCTAGGATAGTTAATATATACTGTTAATACATGCTGTTTCCTTCATACCCCTCCAGCACCAAGACTCTTCATTCTCCACACACCACCAGAGGGAATCTATTCACAGAACACTGCAAACACATAGAAAAGTAAACGAGAAAGGTATTTCACCAGCTATGTTTCCAGATAAAGCAAAGCCACTTTCCCAGCACTAACTGTTAGCATGGGTATCTGGGGAGATGTGAACGGGAATGAGGCAATGCCTCATGATGCCATTCTCCTTTGAACACACAGAATCCTGAACCCCAGATGTCACCACACCCTGCACCTGGGCTTCAGGTAGCGTTGAGGTAGCAGCCCACATCCACCTTACATGGACCACGCCCCATAGCCAGACCTCTCCTGTACCTGAATATGGATAGATTCACGAGGGGCCCATGTCCTGTCACTGGCAAAGGCTGTACCTAGAAGGCAGGAAATGCACAGAGCCTGCCCTTACCTTCTAGAAGCACAGGTCCAGGACTTCCCACCCTGGGGTAGCCACTGTGTGGTCAATGAACCCTTTGGAGAAGGAAGGGCCACCACTTTATTGAACAGTGAACATTCCAAGCCTTGAGGACTTCAGACCCCTCGACCTTGATCACAACTGCTCTCCTCCAATCTTGAGGCATACTTCCACTACACTGACCAATCATTTCTTGCTGTTTTCCTGCTCTGGGTGGCACCTGAGACCATGTCTTCATCTTAGACCTGAACCCAAAGAACTGAGCAATGCCCCATCTACCAGCGGACAGAGCCAGCACAGAGGCTAGAACAGCTTACAAGCCGCAGTACTGAAGGTCAGTCAGGCTGCAATCACCAGAGCTCTACAGTCCTCCTGGGAGTGGGGAGTGGGGGGGAGAGGTTTTCACTGTTTCTACCACTCTAGAAAGTTGGCAGTGCCTCCTCAAGCTGGATATACTTGAAACTCACATCCCTGAAACTCCACTCATATGAAACAGAATGTTCACCAAAGCGAATAAAAGGAAGTTTAGAGTAATCACAATAAGTAAAGGTGACGAATGTCAGAAGCACAATGTGGCATCAAAGAAGTGAAGTACACACCGCATTTGATGGGTGACCTCACGGGCAGGGGATTTTATAGGCAGTTCTCAGGGGAGAAACTGGAACAGGATGACGGCACTCGGGTAAGTGGCTCCCACTGAGGAGAGAACGTGGTATGCAGAGAGAGAAAGAGCTGGCTGGGGTGAAGCTCTCCTCCTCAATCAGGTACAGACAACTCAGATGTGTTCACCTCCCAAAGCTCCACGTTCACATTATGACTAATGCTCTTCTTAATAGCACATTCGCCAATTCAATTACTCATCTTTCCCAAAGTAAGTATACTTCAAGAGAAAACAATTAAATGCACATTATAGCAATATTAACAGCACTATTGATCATACGTAGTATTAACAATGCTGATAACTATAATTGATATTTGTTATTAATTTTGTAATTAGTAAAGCTGTTACAATAAGTAATGTTAATTATTCATTCTACAGTGAGATCTGTGAACTCCTCACCAACTTTTTTTTCCATTGGTACCAGTCTGGGAGATTGAACTCAGGGTCTGGGTGTTGTCCCTGAGCTGCTTTTGCTCAAAGCTAATAGTACCACTTGAGCCACAGCTCTACTTCCAGGCTTTTTGGTAGTTTAGAGGAGGTAAGAGTCTCACAGACACTCCTGTCTGGGCGGTAGCTGCAAGCCATGATTGTCAGATCTTCAGCCCCATGAGTAGCTAGGCTTACAGGTGTGAGCCAGCAGTTCCCAGCTTCCCCAACTAATTTATATACATGGGAGGATAGTGCTCTTGATGTTGGGACTCAATGTCCCTTGCTGTTTCCACAGTTTGCAGTCAGTATGGCTTTACATGCACTCTGCAGAACATCTTTCTGCAAACTGTTTCGTTCAGATAGAATTATGACTTTGTAACCTGCACACACAGAAGCACAGTACTTGTTTATGTGCCTGTACAGCCTGCTGTTTTATAAATACACCAGCACTAACCCTTTCTCCTGTTGGGCTTCCGGCTTCTAAACATCTCACAGTGTGATCAAAGCTAGAATAAACTCTGGTGAGAATTTTTCTTCAGTAGGTGGAAACAGCTTTTCCTCTGCTACATCTCAACTTGCAAGTGATTATACCAGCATCGATCTCTAGCCATCCCACCTCACCCCACCCCATGTGACTGTCTAGCACTGTAGGTATTAGGTAATTCTAATTTGTCTCCACCAGCTGGGCTAGAATCTCACGTAACTGCATGTCTTTTGAGTCATGGTGATTGTAAGTATGATTTGTTTGCTATGCTCTCTGTTCATGTTGTTGTATTTGCAGCTAGTTCTGATTTAGTTTTGTTTTTTTTCAGATTTTTTAGTGTTGTTGTTGTTTTGTTTCAGAGTTTTAAATTCAGGGTCTACTCGGGTGCAAATTCAGGACCTCAAACTTGCTAGCTGTGAGTTCAGCTGGTCCCTGACCACTTGAGCCCTACTTCTAAGCCTGCATTTTGCTGATTATTGTGAAGGCTTCGAGCCGTGATCTTCCAGGTCTCAGCCTCTTCAGTAGATTATAGGCATGGCTTTCTTATGTGTATAATTTCTAAAGTATCTTGTAAACCTTTCGGCGGCTCCTCAGGCTCTCTATAGAATCCACTCTTCCTGGCTTCTTGCCTTCCCCTGCACTGCTCGCCACCTTTGTGCAGAAAGCACCCCTCCTCCACCGTGTTTCTAGCATACTGCCCTTCTTCTAGAAGATCCTTCCTGTCTCTGGCGCTGCTCTTGCTCCACAACTTTTTCTTCAGCACAGGAATTCTTACTCCTGCCTCTTTTTACTCAGAGCTTACATAGGTGACTCTCAAGCCACTAACTGGTACAGATAACTAATAAATCATAGACACTGGTGCTATTAGAATCATAAGACCATTCCACTTGATAAACAATTGTGTGCACCTGCAGGTGGACACACATACACTCGTGTTAGGGAGAAAATGTGCCTACCTGTCTAGAATCACAGGACCCTTGATGGATTCTTTAGCTATTTCAGAAGCCACAAGATAATTGCCCAAAGAGTAGAAAGCTCTTCTAACGATGGGTGGTTCTTCATCAAAGATGCTCCTCCACTGTCGGATGCACGTGGGCGGTGACTGCAGGAGGGCAGCGTTGAGGGCCTTGGAAATCGACTGGGTCACTGTGGTTTTACCTGCAAGTCACACACAGGAGACAGCTGTAGCCTCCATCACACTCCCGAAGGTTAATGACATCCCAGAGAGAGCAAAGACAGGCTCTCAACCTGTAACTTGAAGGAGGCGATTACAGAACCAGATTCTTCCTGACATGCTGTGGAACCAGAGAAACTCCGGATGCCTCTGTTCTTAGAAGCCTAAGAGGGCAAAGAACCTGCTGCTCCTGTGTATGAGTTCTAGAAGCCAGAGCCCATGTTGTCTGCTACTTTGATTCCTGGCCACATTGGTGGCCACCCAACTCTTGAGACAGCTTCCTCTGACTCTACCTGTACCTGATCTGACTTTGGGACCAACACCAGCCTGAGAGCCCTGTAGGAAGCTCTTTCCACCTCCTCCCCCCGCCCCAGCCTCCCCTGCTGACACCTTCACATCCTCTGTCCACTTCTCCTACCCCTTTTGCGAGTCCCAGCATGGGTGCCACCCTGCCTGGCCCCTTGGGCTCCGCCATGGGTGTGTACTCATCTACTTCCTGGTCTCATCTGCCTGGAGCACAAGACGGATGGGGGGCGATAAGAATAGAATCTACTCCAGAGGATGTTTTCTAGTTTCTCTGAGCTCCTTCTGTTTACATTTAATATTTTTCAATCATCCTTAACACGTGAAGTTATCAAGACTTTATTACCTACTGTTCACTCTTCTTTTTCCCCTTGGGTTGTCAAGATGGATCCTAAAACCCACAATCATGTCAGAGAGTCTACTAGGACATAAATTCCCACACAGCATGCCAGTTTCTCCCAAGGACTCCAAAATACTGTTTAACCATCTGGCAAATGAAGAAACTGAGCTTGGGAGAAGGCAGCAAATATACCCAAACTCTCTCTGCTGACAGGCCAGACCCAGGATGCAAACGTGGCAAGAGCATTGCTCCTTTCTCCACTTCACGCTGCCAGTGGATTCTGTACCTACACATACCTGCCTTGAGGTTCAACCTTTGTACCTTTTCTGTAATTCCATAGCATGTGAGTTAGCTCAAGCAATCCAAAAGAGATGATCACAAGAGCACTCCGGCTGAATGACCGACGGATGCTGTTCAAAGTCTCTCTGCAGCTGGCAAACCTACAGCACAGCGTAGCTCCTGCAGGTGCAGGTCCTCTCCTCCCTGATCACTCAGACAAAGCCAGGACAATGCTAGCCACTACCTGTGCCAGTCCACCTGGCTAAACACAAATAGTCCCATGTGGAAACTACCTTTTGTTTTATGTCCCTCAAAATGATCATCTGAGCCCCTCTAGTCAGCATGAGAGGAAAAGCTCGCCTTTCTGAGACCCGTGCCAGCCTTCTCCTGGGCGATCCTCCCCTGCCCTGTACTCTGCTATCCTTAGAGACTCCTTCCGTGTACTGACAGCTCATGAGTAGCACAGGAAGCTCTTGCTTTCCATTTTCTTGTTGACTTCCATTCTGCTCCAAGAGGAGTCTCTGAACCACGATAGCTCCTGGGCACACATTCAGGTTGGATTTCCACATACTTGCTCCTTCTGTCCTCTGGTCGCCTGACCTACCTCTCTCTGTTCCTAGCACCCAACCTGGTACCACTTGGACCTTTATGACCCTACAGAGGCCACGGGTTGTCTTCCTGCATCCCGTCTGGCAAGTGGCTTGGCCTTTCTCTCCTGCCTCACTCTCTCTACATCACATGCTCACTCTACCCTGCAGCCCAGGGCTGACGTAGCAAAGGATCTGGACAAAGAAGATATACATGCCAGGCTCGGCCCACAGGTGCACCTTCATCAGTTAAAGTTAGCACTTATAATGACAAAATCACACGTCTTACCAGTGGCGTCCAGTCCTTCAATGGCAACCACCTGGAACTTTCCTTTCTGGAGCTGCCTTGGGCACTGGTCCACCAGGTCAAGCACTGCCTGGGCTTCCGGGATAAAGGATACACACTGCAAAACAACATCCACCCACATCAGGGCAGAGCACTGGGCACGGGAGAGACAGACCACCATCCTGATGAGCCCTAAGTAGAACCGAGCACCATGCCAGGCTTGGTTCTGAAGCAGAGGCAGGCTGGCCTCCATCACCTGACCGCAAGTAGCTGAGGCCCCATGGGGCGGCGGCCCCCTGAATCACCCGGGCTGCAGGTCTCGCTTGCCCCTCAGGATGAGGCCAGGCCCAGCATCCCAGCACAGGCTGTACCACTCAGCCCCGGCAGGACTACAGGCCCTGTCTGGCCCTGGACGGCACGGGTGTGGAGGATACTGTTCTCTGCATGATCTGCGTCCTCGGCTCCTCAGGGTGCTGGATCAAGCGCCAGCGTGATGGGAGCTGTGTCCCCAGGAACTCAAAGTTCCATTACCTCAGCACCCAGCACATCCCACTGAGGCCCAGACAGACCATCATCTCTGGGCTTAGAAGGCTGCCAAGCGGTTTACAAGAATTAATGAGGTCAAGTCTGGGGGTGCCTGCTTCCAGCCGTGGCCTGCCCACCTCAAAAGCGGGAGGCCCTGAGCTCAAACCCCAGCGCTGCAAACAAAACCAGTACTTTATGAGAGAATCCTGTAATCCTAGTATCGCTGTTATTATTATCCAGTCAGTCTCCAGACCTCGGGGAGAAAAATTCTGTTATTGTTTTCCACCTTATGACTTAAGAAACTGAGGCACCAAGTGTTCCAAAGCAGGGTAACTGCCAGTGTGGTTGGATTCAATCCCCAAGCACTGATCTGGAAGCTTCCACCAGTGTGCAACCCAATGCTGAGGCTTGGGAAGTCTATGCACGCTCCCCAGGGCGCAGAGGACTCCCTGCCTCCCCCAGAACCACCGGTGTGTGGTCGGAAATCACCTCAGTCCCCTGAGAACCTGCCCTGAGCCCAGTTTCCTTCCTCACCGGGAGCACACCTAGATGAACGTCTTCCCGGGAGCTGGCTTTGCCGTAAGTCCCAGGGAAACTCCTGGTGGATTAGCGCCACTGGGTATAGTGTGGCTCACTAATTTATCAACCTTAGTACACACACCATCCAGGCACCGTGTGCGTGTGTGCGCACGAGCGTGTGGTGTGTGTGTGCGCACGCGAGCGTGTTTTGTGTGTGTGTGTGTGTGTGTGTGTGTCCCGTGCTGGAAGTGGGGTTGGAATCAGGGTGTGGGACTCTGTCTCTTAACAGGCGTAGAGCTCGGCCACTTGAACCACAGCTCCACTTCTGACTGGCGGTCAAGCGAAGACAAAGAGCCTCACAGACGTTGGTGTTCCCGGGCTGGCTCCGAACCACAATCCTCGCTCTCGACCTCTGGAGTAGCTAGAATTACAGCCATGCATCTGCCCAGGGCCAGTGGGGGGGGCAAGGGGGGATGCTGCTCTTACCTCCTGCAGCACAGCCCTGGCGGCGTCCCGGTCCGGGAAGACCACGGAGCTGTGCAGGGCGGGCACCGCCGGGTGCAGCGGCGGCTCGGGCAGCGGCAGGACGCGCGCGCGCTCCCCGGGCTGCTGCCGCCCGCCGTCCCGCAGCGCCCACAGGCGCAGCCACAGGGCGCCCCGCGCGTCGGCCTCGAACTCGCCCAGGTGCGGGCGCTCGGGCTCCGGGCAGGCGCCCACCAGCTCCAGCAGGGCGCGGCGGGTGTCGGGGCCGCCATGGGGGTCGCGCAGCAGGAAGCCGCGCTGCAGGCCGCCGTCCGGGCCGCCGCCATAGCCGAGCAGCGGGCACAGCTGGCAGCCGCGGAAGGGGTCGCGCTGCAGCCGCCCGCGCAGGCGCTGGTGCAGCCGGGCCGCCCGCACCCGCGCCCCGCCGGCGCCCGCGGGCACGCACAGCGAGAAGCTGCGCCCCGGGGGCCCCAGCAGCGCGGCCAGGCGGGCGTCGGGGCGCGCGCCGCCCGCGCCCCCCGCGCCGCCCACCGCGAAGTGCAGCAGGGCGCAGCCGGGCAGCTCGAGCGCGAAGCGGCACGGCGGGGCCATGGCCGCAGCCTCGGCCGCCGCGCAGGCCCCGCGCCGGGACGGCCGCGGCCGCAGGAGCCGCCCGAGCAGCAGCGGGGCGCGCGCGCGGCAGGCGAGGGCCGTGGGCATCTCGGCGGCCGCAGCCCCGGAATCGAAACCGCGGGGCCGCCCGGGAAACGAGGGCGGCGGCGGGGCGGGGCGCGGAGAGCCGCGGTCGGCGCCGGAAACGACCGGCGCGCCCGGCCCCGCACCCCCCCCCCCTCCGGGATGGAGCCCCGGGGCCGCCCGGTTCCGGCGTGCCAGGCGATCCGTGGACCCGAACTAGCCGGGCTCCGAACTAGCGGTTGCCGAGGCCCCCGAGGGCGGGGAGGGAAGCCAGAGGCGCGGGCCCCACAGGGGGACGCGGGGCCTCGGTGCGCGCCCCCACCCGCCCTCGCCAAGCCCGGCCCCCTCGGCCCGGACCCCGCCGCCGCGGCCCCACCCGAGCCTGAGCCCCAGGCTCCCCCGCCGGGACCGGCTGCCCAGATGGGGACCCCCAACGAAGCACAGCCTTAACATGTCCAAGTCCAGTCTACCAGCACGGAGGTGGACCGAGGCTGGCCGTGCATCTGCGTGTGCGCTGCACGCTTGCTCTATGCCTGCCTTATTCTGTTTGTTATTGTTGTTGTTGTTGTTTTCTTTTTCAGGGTCCTGCGTCCTTGCCTAGGTTTCTCACTCAAGACCAGTGCGCTTATCCTTTGAGCCACAGCGCCATTTTGGCTTTTCTGAGTAGTTTATTGGAGATAAGAGTCTCATGGCCTTTCCTGCCCAGGCTGGCTTCGAACCTTGATCCTCAGATCTCAGCCTCCTGAGTGGCCACCAGCACCCTACTCTAACAGGCTTTTAAAAGACAAAAAAAAAAAAGGATAGTCTTCCACTTTAAAAAAAAAATCAAATTGAGTAAAGAGAGAGAGAGAAATAATGAACTGAGAGCATTTACATCTTAATCAAATAGGTTAAAGCTTAGGTTATGTTTTCTTTTGGCAGAAAATAACTTGAGATCTACAGTTGTGTGGTTGAAGAAAAAATGAACAGGCTGAGTTAGAACTCTAGAGCGTTCCTACCTCTTTGAAAACCACTCTCCAAGTACCTTGGCCTTTGCACAACCTGGCTGTTGTGGAGATGTGCTCACCTGTGTGTGATGTGTGACCCTCGCAGTCTTCTGCAGTTTCTTTCTGTTCTCTGAGACAGCTCCAGTAACTTTCCCTTGGCCCTTTTCCCAGGCCACCCCCTCTATGGGTTCCTCCGGCTTTCTGTCTTTCCAGCCTAGCTCCAGGCTACATAAACACCAGAAAAGCCATTTTCTCTAACTACAGGAATCAGGAAGTGTGAGCTTAGAGTGCCTGCAGGTTTTCAGGTTTTCTTTCCCCTGAGGCTTTGTCCTGAGAACCAGCCTGTGTCCTCCCACCTTCTCTGACTTTCCAAGTGACTCGTTACACATCCAGCATTCCTTGTCTGATAAGGACTCTAGTTGGGCTGAGGACCTCTCACCAGTTTGGTTTTAACTTAACCCCTTCAGTAAAGGCTTGTATTGTAGCCTCTAACTCCCAACTCTGCAGTCAGCTCCCTCTAGCCACTGCTCAGCCTCCAGTCTCTACCCCTCCCAGCATCCTGGTGGTGAGCAGGAAGATGGGCTTCATCTATACCCATGAGTCTAGAGTGGCATGAGTACAAAGGAAAGACAATGAGCTTTGGATGATTGGAGAGGCATAGCCAGCAAAGATCACAATAGACAATGAATTTCAACAGATCAAAGAGGCAATGTAGAAACTCCCATGCGAGAATGGGCAAAGAACTCGAGTGTGTGCATCATCAGAAAAGAGAATCTCCAAATGGCTGATAAACATGAAAAGAGCTTCCATCATCAGGAAATGAAACCTGCTGAAGACACCGGCAAACACCAGGGCTAACCACAAACAAAACAGAGTTTAAATAGCGGCACTACTAACCAAAGGGGAATCTGTGGAACAAACGGCTCCTCAACACTATTCGGGCTGTCCATCACCTTGTAAAATTGTAGAGGGCCTTGCTGTAGGCAGAGCACACACAATATCAACTAGTGATCTACTGCTGGATCCCATTAAATGGTCACGCATACCAACATAAATTCGTGCATGTGTGGACTGAACTTTGAAAGGTAATTAGTGACACATCATCTAAAACAATCCAAATTCTCACCATAATGGGATGGTTAATGAACTGTGTGGTATTCATCCGATGGAATCCTAGAGAGCTCGGGAAATGCACCAGCTACAGATAAAGTAAAAATAAGGACGAATCTACAAATCTGACGTTGAGTGGGAGCAACTAGACGGGAAATAATATATACCATGCGATCCTATCCATGGAGTAGTAGAGTTTCAGAAAAGAGGACAGGGTTATATTCAGGGCAAGATAGGGTATCGTACCTAGGAAAAGGTGAATTAATGGGTTCAAAGTCTTGCTAAATTCAGTGTTGTTTCTGTTTTGTTTCACCTCACTAAGGCTTGGACTCTGTTCCTTGGCTTTTTTGCTCAACCCTGATGCTCTACCACTTAATTCACTGCTGCACTTCCAGGTTTTTGCTGGCAAATTGGAGATAAGAATCTCACAGACTTTCCTGGCAGGGCTGGCTTCCAACTGATCTTCTAATCTAAGCCTTTTGAATAACTAGGCCTACATCTCATTTCTCAGAATAACTAGGATTAATCTCAGCCTTTTGAATAACTAGGATTACAGTATGAGCCACAAATACCAGACCAGATAGTTCAGTATCTTTATTATAATGCCCTTTGCATTTTTATTCATTGTGCTGTACCTATCTCAATTATTCACATTAGACATGTTATGCTTCAGTAAAAGATGTGCTAAAGAAATAATGCCATAGGCTGGGCACTGGTGGCTCATGCCTGTAATCCTAGCTACTCAGGAGGCTGAGATCTGAGAATCGCGGTTCAAAGCCAGCCCGGGCAGGAAAGACCGTGAGACTCCTATCTCCAATAAACCACTAGAAAACCGGAAGTGGTGCTGTAGCTCAAGTGGTAGAGCGCTCGCCTTGAGCTGAAGAGCTGAGGAACAGCGCCCAGGCCCAGAGTTCAAGCTCCATGTCCGACAGAAAAAAAGAAAGAAAGAATGCCATGGTTACAACGAAGTTCCGAGTTCCCGCAGCCCAGTCAGGTGCCACAGCCTCTGTTTATAGGTGGGTACTTCTAAGAGGACTCAAATACTCTTCTGGAGCTGGTTAGGAATTACAAGTGTTTAGGTGGAGAGCCGCTAGCCAAAGAAAAAGAATGGAAAAATTTTGCATTTATCAGGCTGTGCTTGGATTCCTTTCAACATGAATGACCCCAGGGAGGGCAGCCTGGATGTCAGCCCCAGTTCATATTAGAAGGCATCCTTCCCTGGTGTGCAGCCCTGGGAGACTCCAGGCAGATGGGAAGAGAAGCAGCCATGAATAGCTTTGTCAGGTTATCCTGCAGAAAATAGGTGAAGAGGCCTTGTGGAGAGTGCATACTGGCAGATGCAGAACCCCATGATTGCTGTCAGGCCTGGCCTGGGAGGCAGCGTGGGCAGCAGGCCTGTAAACTGACCAGAAAGTCAGATGCACACATGTTAGCTGTCTGGTGGAGGCTGAGGGGCAGCACTTCTGACTGTACTGGCAGTAAAGCATCTAACCTGGCTAAATCAGTTAAGTGCCAGGGAAAGTCTGCCGTGCCTGAACCCCACTCCTGGAGAAGCAAACTTAGTTAAATTATGGTGACTTTTGTGAGCATTTTGACAACAGATTTTTTAAAATTGCATCCACTTAGACTTCATCCATGTCAATATTTTTATCTGAGGCATGGGAACACCTGACTACATGCGTGTAAAAGGAAGGGAGGAGGAAGAAGGAAAAAAGTATGCCTGATAACCTGAATTAATTAATTAAAAAACTGCCCGGGGTAGAGCAGACTTAGGACACAATGAGAGTGTAACATGATCATGCTGAGCAATTATTGATTATTGTTGTAAGTGCTTAAATCATAGTTCAAATTCCTCCTCTCTGTGTGACATGCTTTCTGAGCTGTGATGTGAATCAGCTCAAAGTTAAACACAGTGTCTGGCCTCTGTCATGCATGTGGTAAATATTACCCATAGGGCTTGGTCCACATTGTCCCATAATCTTTAACATGCCTTGTGTGAAGGAGACATCACTATGGGTAATTCCGGAAGTATTCACAATACCATACTTGTAAAGTAATTTACTCTCAGTTATGTACTAGTGGACCAACCTGTAATTCAACTCACAATATCTTGCTTCGCAAAACCTGTGTGATTCCCTTTTAATATTTTATCTGATACTTGACTTTGTATGCACATGACTCAGAAGCCTTTCTCAATAAGGCTAACCCAGGAAAAGAGCTTACAACACCTTGAGCTCAAATGATTTCAAGCGCTTGAGTCAGATCAACAGTTGCATAACCATCATTTGCAATTCTACTGTGCAGCTTGTTGGCAGAGCCTACTTTCAATTTCCCTGTCCAGAAAAACAAGTTGTTTCTGTTTCCATTCAGAAGAACAACAGTCAGGGCTGACTGAGCCCTCAAAGGTAGTAGGCCTAGCAGCACACGGCTACAAGCTGAGAGCTGGATTTCTGGGTGTTTCCACCTTACTCAAGATGCACAGAAACACCATTCTGATTATAGAGGGAATAGAAGGAACTGTCTACCTTAGGGATCCACCTGCTTCCTATAAGAACTAAAATACAAAGGCAGTCCACGGTCATTCTTGCCAATTGTGAGGCATCTGGGGAAAGCATCCAGTTACCCTCACTGGGAAAAAATAAAAAAACTTCTGAAAATGGTATGAGAATAAACATGTCTGCATTTTCACACTATCCCAATGTGCAAATTAAATGAAAGCCTAACTTCCCGATGGCTCCTGCCTTTTGTGGCCTGGGGGAGGGGCCTGATGCTAAGATTCCACGGTCCTGCCACCCTGCCCAGGGTCAAGCAACCTTTCTATTATGTTGCTTCCAAGAAGGCACATTGCTGTGAACTGTCATAAACTTCTTCTCCTACTAAACTGAAATTCTAACCAACAAAGCTTTATCCCTCCTGGTACCTTCCAATCATCATTCTCTGAGTTTAACTATTGGGGTAACTGCAGTCATTCAGCATGGGTTAATTTATCTGCTGTTTCACTTAATTTAATGTTCGTCCAGCTCGTCAAAGGACTTGATTTCATTCAGTATGTGTGTCCTTGTATGTATGTGTGTGTGTGTGTGTGTGTGTGTGTGTGTGTGTGTGTGTGTGTATGGTGTGTGTGCTTATAAAACATTTTCTTACCCACTTCTGAGATGACCCATATGTTGATTTCATATGTAGCCTACTGTGAATTGTGCTACAATGAGTTTGAATGTTGGAGGGAAGATGTCTGTTTAAGATACTGGTTTTGTTTTCTTTGAGAGTCCTGGAGTAGACCTCTGATAAGCCTGAGTCTGCAGTGAGATACCACAAGTGAAAATTCCACCTGTGGTTTGTTTCATGCACAAAAGTATTTGAAAGTTTGACATTCCCTTCTAGCTATGTTTACAAGTGTATGAGAAACACAATCTCATGTTTAGACTTCGGTCACTCCCCTCAAATGTCTTACACAAACACTATGCTTTCCTTCTTTTTTTTCATAACTAAGTAGTATTCCATGGAGTGTTATACCCAGCCCAAAAGAAAAACAAATCTGAAACATTTCCAGTTCCCTGCCATTCAGCCAAGGGGTGCTCAAGCTATGGCAACAACACACGGTGGTCACACCTGTCATCCCAGCTACTCAGGAGGCTGAGATCTGAAGATCACAGCTGAAAGCCAGCCCAGGCAGGAAAGTCCCGTGAGACTCATGTCCAATAAACCACCAGACAACCAGAAGTGGCGCTGTGGTTCAAGTGGTAAAGTGCTTGCCTTGAGCTGAAGAGCTCAGGGACAGCGCCCAGACCCAGAGTTCAGGCCCCATGACTGAAAAGAAAAATATATATATATATATATATATGGGCCATGCTTCTGGGACACGGGAGGCCTGTCCCCACATTCCCAGCTGCTCATGTTCCAGGTGAGTGGGAAGGATTAGAAGATCATGGTAGCTCAAAGCCAATCTGGGGCAGAATAGCCCAGTAGGTTCCAACTTATATTAGCCAGTCCATAGCCCAAGTGCAAGCATGCACAACTCAACTGGTAAAGCACCAGCCATGAGCAAGCACGCTGATCCTTATATTCAAGCCACAGTCACACACACACACACACACATACACACACACACACACACACACACACACACAGTGTTATGAAGATGTGACTGTCTCTCTCTGAGTACAGGGGCAGGCTGGGGAGCTCCTGGGCACTGTCCTCTGTAGAAGGCTTTGCAGGGGTGCCAGGGAGCCTGCTTGCCCTGTCCTGTCCTGGCTCTGTGTCTACTTTCATTTTCACTCATGAGAAAATAGAAACTCACTCAGCTGAGAGTGACTGGCAGGGGTGTGTCCCTCCTCCCTCACCGGGTCCCGACCCCGAGTCCGTGAGGGCGTGCTGGGAGGCGGGCTCCCTTCCACCCTTATATAAGAGGCCGGGGGTCGTCCTGGGCAGGATGGACGCCAGGCATCATGGGGATGCTCCTGCCCACCAGTCTGGCGGAGAGGCTCCTGAGCCTGTGCAGGCAGCCACTGGGCTCCCTCTGGGACAGCCTGACTGCTCTGCTCTGCTGGCTGCAGACAGCCTTCCTGGGGCTGGGTGCTGAGGAGAGACAGCAGGGAGTGGGGCACAACCCCTGGGGGGAGCCTCACACAGAAGAGGAGGAGGAGGAGAGGGAGGAGGGGGAAGAAGGGGCTCTGTCTTTGATCCCCACCAGCGTCAACTACCACTTCACTCGCCAATGCAACTATAAGTGCGGATTCTGTTTCCACACTGCTAAGACATCCTTTGTGCTGCCCCTGGAGGAGGCCAAGCGAGGGCTGTGGCTGCTGAAGGAAGCAGGTGAGTCCTGGGTGCCGGGAGAAATTGGGGCACTGCACCCCGCAGAGGAGGGCTGACAGAAAGAGGCCAGCCCCTGGCCACCCAGGCAGCACTGCCCAGCGGGAAGCCGTGCAGAGGTGAGCAAGGTAAGCAGCGATGAGGTGCAGCTACTCCTAAAGCCTGGCAGGTAGTGAGTGGACACCTGGGCACAATCCCAGCCTGTGATCCTCAGAGAAACAGCCTGGGACAGTCAGACACACTCGGAAGCCCACAGAAAAGAGGAAAGTTGACAAGAAAAATGCTTCGACCGAAGAGCAGTAGCAACAATTGAGCTTTGAGTCGTTTGAGCTGCGTGTGTGTGTGTGCGTGTGTATGTGTGTGTGTGTGTGTGTTGTTCCTAGGAAACTTCTAAAAAAGAAATCATGATATTAACAGAGATGGCAGGGACCTTGCTCTCCAGACTGGCTTGGCTAGACGCTATCATGCCGGTCACTTGAGGATAGTTCAGGAAAAACTACTTCAAATGCAGCATCTTCACTTCATCCTGTCCTTCCTTCCATCTTGCTGCTTGTCTTTCTTAGATCATCTCCGCAGCCAGCAGCCTTTTCTCTCCAGGCTGAACTTATTGGTGGAGGAGAGCAGTCATGCCCAAACCCTGCCTTCCACGCATCGTTTGATGATTTCATACATGGGGAGCCCAGGTGCACAGCTGTTACCCTGTGCCTTTTCATACACCTATTTGTGCTTCCTGTTTCTGGGCGTTCTATGAATGAAATCATGCAGTCTGTGTTTTATCAGCTCTGACTTCCTTTGCCCAGCTCTGTGTTTAGTTCCCTACCCACAGCTGGGCACCCAAGTAAGAATGTGCGCCTGGTCATCCTTACTGTCTCCTTACTGGGGACTTTAGTACATTCATTCCACTGTCCCCTCTTTCCTAACCGAAAGCGCATTATCCTATGGAAATGTAGCCCTTCAATCTAACTTCCATCTGACCTAACGCTCACGCGTCCGACAGAATTGAGTTTAGGAGCTGTGCAGCCTTGGTGGGCTTCTGCTCATCTTCTGAAGTGTTCACCGGCACATGAGGGGTGTTGGCCTGCTTGGGAAATCTGGATTGCCCATGATGCCTTCGCCTCCTAAGCCAAATCTGTTCATCTGGTCAACTACCTCTCAGCATTCAAGTGCCTCCATTTTAACATAGTTTAAAAAAATAAAAAGGAACAAAAACAAGCTCTTCAGGAATTTTTTTTCTTTTCCTGGTTCTAACCAGGAATTAAAGATGTGGTTATTCCAGTAGAGCTAGACTGATGATAGGAACAAGAACCAGGAAAGGGAAGATAGTAGACATCTTTGTTCCAGTTTTGGTGGGGTTTGTATTTGTTTTTCCTTAATTGAAAAAATATACTCTTGCCATTAGAGTAAAAATGGATGACAGCCAAGCATGGTGTCATACACCTGTAATCCCAGCACTCAGAGGTCAAAGCAGGAGGATTGAGAGGTAGCCACAGCTACATAGTGAGACTTTGGGTCAAAACAAAACAAAGGATGGGACAGGGGCTCAGTACAGCCCTGTGTGTCCCATCCAAACTGAGCGAAAATATCAAAACAAAACTAATGAAAATATTGATTTATGAGATGTGTGTGGCCTCTCCCAGGCATGGAGAAGATCAACTTTTCTGGAGGAGAACCCTTTATACACGACAGGGGAGATTACCTGGGCCAGCTCGTGAAGTTCTGCAAGAGGGAGCTGGGCCTGCCCAGTGTGAGCATCGTGAGCAACGGCAGCCTGATCCGGGAGAGGTGGTTCAAGGACTACGGTCAGTCCATTGCCTGACACTTCAGGCGCTGCTATTAATACCATTGGGTCCTGCATTTCCTTCCATCCTGGGCCTTCAGCCAGGCCTTCGGTGGAATCGGAAGGAAAGAAAAACAAATCTTGCTTGCCCTAATCTTCTCCCAAGTCGTGTGTGGTGTGTAGGGCTGTTTTAATTCTGCAGGACTCTAAATAAACATGTATGCCCAACAGATAGTGCAGACTGTGGAGAAGATGAGTTCCTTGGGCTGCCTGACTCAGCAAGGGTTGAAATCTATGGCATTAATTAGCACATTTCCTGGCTGCATCATAGAATAAATAATACTGTAAGGACTACAAGAGACCCATGACCAGCTATATCAGAAGCTCACTGTGTTTAGATTGACTGGTGTGGAGTGCCCAGGAGCCCCTCCGTGCAGCCAGGATTAAGACCCGCAGAATCCTGAGGTCCCATAGTTAACTTGGCATGTGATATCTCTAGGGCCATGCTTGGCATTAGGAAGCTTCTGAAAAGTGTGCTCAGTCTTACGATTGTCATTTCAGAAAACGTTTGAGGCCTCCTCTTGCAGAACTCTTCTCCTTTCCGTGCCTTGTGAATCATTGGAGCTTTGAGTTCTTGGAAGGCAGAGCTGGTCCTTCCCTTCCGATGTGTTGAGGATGTTGACCAGAAGTGTGATGTCCCTTCCAGCATGGGGACATGTGTGTGCTTGGAGCAGTCTGTCAGATAAAGGTTAAGCAGGAAGAGAGGATTCCCAGCTCCGAGACAAGACCACAGGGAGATACGTGATGGAATGGGCGTGGGAGGTCAAAGAGAGCTTTGGGAACCAGACTCAGTGAGACAGAAAAGCACTCTGGAAAGCCGAGGGGGTAGAGATCAGTGAATGAGGGTCTGGGGTGTGAACCCCAGCAGCACCCTCCCCTCCAGGAAGGGCTTGGCAGGCCTGTCTCCTGGGTATGCAGCAAGGGGATCAGAAGATTGCTTCACACTGCTCAAATGTGTGTATGGCAGATAAACACGCAGAAAGTGCCATGGTGGTGGGAACCGAGCAGGAATACAGGAGGCCCTGTTTGTGGCAGTGACCAAGTTCACAACCAATTATAACCTTTCATTATGGGGGCAGGGGAAGGAGTTTATATGGATCTGGGTCTGGTGCTCAGACCACTGAAGTCTGCAATCTATATTAAATCTTTGTGTCTGGTTTGAACTTTGGTTGGGGAGTATGGAAGGCTAGTGAGCGACTACATGTTCAGTGACTTGCTTCATCCCGATATGATATTCCATTACAAATCTACTTGAGAGCAATGTTTAGGACATTTCAAGTTGTTCTCAGTAATAGATAATTGTTTTACTCTGGCTCTGGTTTGTGCTTGGTGCTTGTTATACCTGTTATACAGAGGTAACACAAAGTGAACCCTAAAATCAGACTAGAATCAGTCCATGTAGATTAGCGTATAGTGGCTTATCCTCAGCTTCTGTCATTTGAAAGTAATTTTAAGAAAAAGGAGTCAACTTTGGGAAGTCTCGTATCCAAGAAGCCAGCCACACTTGGCCAGCTTGTAAAGAACAGCAGCCCCAGACAGCACTGTCCCGCACGCATGCATGTGGAGTATGGAGTTGAAAAGCTGACCCGAGAGTGGTCCCTGGGGTCACAGGAAAGACAGAAGTGAGGTCACAGAACCGAAATAACCCTCCTCAGTATTTCTCTGCGGGGGTAATACCCGACTATCAGAGCCCTTAATGTGTTGCCTTGCAAGGAGAGGCCTGTTTTTAACTGGCTTTCGTTTATCTCGGTTTTCTCAGCTTCTGGTACACTTGTGCCTGGCATGGCACAGCGTCTCTGTAAACATTTAGACAGATAAAGCTTGCACAAGACCTGTGAAGAAGCTCATGAGCTTGGGGATATACTACATCTGTCTTGCACAAAGTAGTGCGGTCTGTATGATGGGAAAGGAGAAGCAAATCTATAATTGCTTACAGAGAAGTCAAGAAACTTCAATAATATACTTGTTTTATATATTACACAATTTCCATATAAGTTTAAAAAACCCTAATTTAAGTATATAAAGTCCTCATTCACATACATGTAGTTTTAGAATGGTCACGTTAGCTCCATAATTACACGATTTCACATTTTTAAGGGATGTTTATTTGTATGCATTAACTGCACGAGAGGGTTATTACGACATAGCTGAGCATGCATGCAATCTCCCCCATCAATATATCGTCTTCTATTACTCTCTCTTACCCTTTTCATTCCCCCTTCTTAAAATAATTTCATCGGGTTTTATTTTAAATTATTTTACAGAACTACAACTCATATCTCAGCAACTTTCTCAGATATGAGGAAAGCTGTTACTTAAAAATTACAGCACAGAGGGGCTGGGAAGGTGGCTCAGTGGTAGAGCACTTGCCTTGCATGCATGAGGTCCTGGGTTCAATTCCTCAGCACCACATAAACAAAAAGAAAAAAAGCTAGAAGTGGTGCTGTGGCTCAAGTGGTAGAGCACTAGCCTTGAGCTGAAGAGCTGAGGGACAGTGCCCAGGCCCAGAGTTCAGGCCCTATGACCAGACCACCCCCCCAAAAAAAAATTACAGCACAGAGGCAAACAAGTTATTTTTTATCATAATGGAACTTAAGTGAACTAATGAGCTCTGTGTTTTGATGACTGTTTTCCTGCAGGTGAATATTTGGACATTCTCGCCATCTCCTGTGACAGCTTCGATGAGCAAGTGAATGTCCTCATTGGCCGTGGTCAAGGAAAGAAGAACCATGTGGAAAATCTTCAAAAGTTGAGGATGTGGTGCAGAGACTACCGAGTAGCTTTCAAGATCAATTCTGTCATTAATCGATTCAACGTGGAAGAGGACATGAACAAACAGATAAGAGCCCTGAACCCTGTCCGCTGGAAGGTAAGTGTACAGTATTGCCTATGTCTGCTTTTATCCAGAAAACTCTAAGAGATTCAACAATCCAGAAAGCACTCAGAGACTGTCCCCATATGGAAAACTCTGAGACATTCACCAGTGCAGAAAACACCAAGAGTTTCACTAATACAGAAAAACATTAAGAAACTCACCAATCTAGAAAACATTGAGAGACCACTCCAGCAAGCATTAAGAGTGTCAACAGGGATTGGAGACATGCCTCGGCCGGTAGGTAGAGCATCAGCTAGTGAGTGAAAGCATCAGATACTGCGCCCAGGCTCAGACCAAAAACTTAATAAAAGGAGAGACTCAACAATCCAGAAAACATTGAGATGCTCATCAATGAAACTGAAAACAATCCTGACTCTGAGACCTTTTGGGGCAAGTAAGTCCTTGTTCTTGGTCATCCTTCCTGCCCTGTTAAACTTTCAATTGTACTTTTCTTTGTTGATGAAAGCTGAAGAAAGATGTATGACAGGAAGAGGAGGGACTCACAAAAATGAGGAGTTGGACTCCACAAGCCAGAGGACAACTTCTAAGCCCTGAGAGTTTAATTCAGAGCTACCTCTCCTTGCCTCTTCCCTTTTGTCCCCCATCTCTGCTCTTTGGCTGATGCTGATTTCCTCTGAGTGTCCTTTCCATGTATTCTTCTGCGTGGCCTTTTTAAAATATATAGATTCATATCTTTTCTTTCTTTTTTTTTTACAGCGCTCTAAAATATTACTTTATTTTCACTTTCTCGTGCTGTCAAGGTGACTTTTCAGTGTCATGATTAATCAGGTGCCAACCATGACACACTTATTTGCTTCACACAGATATGAAAGTATGTACAGTGTTGAGAGAAAAGGGAACTGGTAGGTAGATAGGGGTAAAAAGTGACATGTGAACCCTGACATGGGTACGTCATTGTACTTTCTTGTTCCCATAATGCCTTGAACACTGGCTCAAATGTTTCTTCCTCCCATAATGCCCTGGGTGTCTGCTCAATCAATGAAAAGAGCCAGGGCAGCACATACTCAGGCCTCAAGGGATCAGTGCAAAGCCCAGGGGAGGAGATACAAGAGGCACCCCATACTGCAAAGCTGCCCTCTGAGAAGACTCCCTTGGCCTTCTCTTTGGGGCCTCTCAACAGATGGATGGAGAGCTATTTTCTTTCATGGCTTTCTTCTCACTTTCAATATTTGCTCCCTTCTTTGGCTTGCTCTTGCGTCCCAGTCATTTCCCTCACTTTCTGAATCATTCTAAATTCACCATTTCAGGATTCTGGCCCTTGGTGGGAGGGCGTTGGCTCTTGCCAGTGTAGGAACCTTGTTCCCCAAGATCATCATGGAATGGAGGCTTTGGGTCAGGTACCATGCTCAGACTCATCACTCATGGGGCTCGAAGCCTGCTTTCCTGAGCTGCTTCCCCTCTGAGAGGCCCAGGACCTGGCTACCACCGGCAGCCATGAGCTGGTGTGCCAGCATTGATCCCAGCTGGGGGTAACCTCTCAAATGTGTTTGCTCTTCCCTACAATGGTAGAACACTCTTGTCCCAGCAGCTCTTCCTAATCTTTCAGGTCTTCCAGTGCCTCTTAATTGAGGGTGAAAATTCTGGAGAAGATGCTCTGAGAGAAGCAGAAAGATTTGTCATCAGTGATGAAGAGTTTGAAGAATTCTTAGAGCGCCACAAAGACGTGTCCTGTTTGGTGCCTGAATCTAACCAGAAGGTTGTATGCAAAAAGGTTTTGTTTGCCATCGCACAGTTAGATAGATTTCAGTGGGGAGAGATCCCTCCCCCAAGAGCATTGTGTTGTTAGTTTAGAGGACCCAGAATCGGGAGGGAGGAGAGGGGATGAGATACATGATGGCTGCCTACCAGCCGCATGCAGTGTTGCATAAGCTTTACTTTCCCTCTCCATGAACAGGTAGATGGCGTGATTCCATGGAATCACACATACAGTCTTGACACGGTGATTCACAGACACAGAATGTGCCAGATAGGTGACTCAGTGCCCAGACGCTAGGCGGAACTGATGAATGCTGTTCTATTTATATCAGCATTATCATAGAGTTACTTCTATGAATAACTTCAGAGGTTTGATCGACCAGAGGAAATGCTTTGCCAGTTGTCTCCCATAGGTACTGTGGGATACATCCAGCAAGCACAGATTCCACCCACAGATTGGGAAGAGCGTGTACATCACGAAAGTGTAGTCAGGTCCTGGTGTTCGCTGGCCTGGCTTGAATTGGAGCAAACCATAACTCTGCCAATCTGCTGGCCAGCTCACTTCACACCTCCGTGTGAGCTCTCGGGCCCTGGAGGATAGGCATATGGGGACTCCGTGGTAAGAGGTGGTTGTTGACTCACAGCAGCCCCGACCTGACCTGTACAAAAGTCAGTCAGCTGACTGAGGGAGAAGCCCCAGCTTGCTTCCTGATTCAGAACATTGGAGGTGGAGGGTGGGGTTAGATCAAGCCAAGGATAATATTCATGATTGATGAAAATAGCCTGGATTCCATTGTCAGGCTGTGTTTACTCGAGTTATGGTGGAGCTCAGCCAACGTTATTCTCTTACTCGTTCTTTTGTGGTCGCTTTGGGGGGTACAGTGTGGAGCTGGTTAGCTGTGGTCTATAAATCACAAAACACTTTTTTTAAACTACTTAACCATTTCCAGAAAAAAGCTGGCCAATCCCTACTCATAAGAGCATGCAGACAAGGTAGCACCTTTATCTGACCTTGCCTGCTAGCTTGCATGACACACTGGTCTCAGGTCCTCTTAAAGTAATATTGGCATCTTCGGGTAAAGCTACTCTTCAGCCCCTATGGGGACAGAGTTAAAGAGAGTCTTGCACTGTGCCTTGTAAATCGGGAACGTCATTGTATGGGGGTACCTGACAGAGTGCTGAGTGCAAGACCGCTGGAGGGGAGAGGGCAGCCAGGCTCAGAGAAGTCCTTGGGGTGACTACCTGATGCTTGTAGCCTGAAGCAGAGTATCTCAGCTAGTCAGAATCGGAAGAGACTGGAATTGGTCCTCCCCTCTTAGAACCACAACACTCAAATGAGATTTAAGGAAATTGAGGCAGGATAAATCAGGGAACGTGAGGCCAGCAATTCAGAAACGAACTCTGTGTCTTCCTTTCTTTAACCCTTGTGCTCCTTCTTAAGCTGTGGAATTAGTACAAGGAGAAAAAAGAGAAAGAGCACCTTTATCTGACCTTGCCAGCAAGCCCAAATCAGTGTGCTTTGGAAACTGAGCATCATTAAGAGAGAAAAAAAAAAGATAGGTATCCTGGAAAAGCAAATACTTAGGAGCATGATTCCTCCTGGCACAAAGCACTTACCTCAAGGAGAAACAGCTGTCTTTAAAATGTAAGGCAGAATGCATATTTTGTTCTTTGAATGGATGCCGAAACTTGATGATCTTAGTCTAACGAGCAGGTCAGTCTTAGAGATCCTGAGCCCAAGCGAAGAAAGTGCAGTGCCAAGGGTGATTAAGTGTGCCCCATGTGCCTTTATTACACACACACACACACACACACACACACACACACAATGTCAAAGACCCCAGTGTGTCTCCCTTTTAGTGTGCCTCTGCCTTTCTGCTTGCCTGCTTCCTCAATAAAAGCTCTGCCAAGTTTTCTTGCCATTGTGACTTGTCTTATTCTGTGATCCAAGTCACCTGCAAATAAATGGAAGGAGAGTCCATAAACCCTCACCTGGAACCCGTTACAGAAAGTTGAACCCAGAATCGTAACACAGACAGACACCGAGTGACACACAGTTGAGCACACACACTGAAAAATACATCTGTGAAATGAAAGCTAACTTTTTACTTGATTCCTCTTTGCAGATGAAAGACTCCTACCTCATTTTGGATGAATATGTGAGTATTTCTCTCGTGAGTAAGAAAGGACTGCTAAAGAACCAATTAAGCAGCTATATCAGTGGGCTAACATGAACACAGCTGTTTTGTATGGGTTTGTTCTTCTTGGAGGCGAGACCTGGATGTACTTGGCGATTCCTGTTACCCTGAGCTCTAGCTTAGTCCTGTGCCATGCTCTGCACTCAGAGATCTCCCCGGCTTGAACGTGACCCGGGTCTGTGGATTTGTACTCACCCCTCGAAGCCGTGCATCTGCGGCTGTCACGTGGAACCAGCCTTAGCCCAGGGGCTCTGGTCTGAACGGGCAGCGAAGCCAGCTCTCTCTTTGCCTTACCCTGACTAACCCAGAAATGGTCAGCTATAATTCACTGATTACGGTGACAGCTGGAAGGAGAACCATTGTCAGGATTCCCACCCCCGCATGCCTAGGAAAGGAAAAGGGAGCCCACCCTTCTCCTTCCGCCTCCCACCTTCCTCTGTCTCTGTTATTGTTCTGGATGGACCACCCTTGTCTAGCAGGGGTCAAATAATTCCATTCAAAGGTGAGGGGGCCTTTTGTTTTTGTGTTTTAGAAGTAATTTCCAACAAGAGCTATGGGCTCCATGTCTACGCAGGATTCGGAGGATTTTTTCCTTGTGAGAAATAGATAAAAATACAGATTATTTTGTTCTTTTCAAGTTTATCAGCGAGGATTATTCTAGCATAAAGTTGATAGAGCATAAGGGGAAAATTTGATCCTGGTAAACGTTCAGTTTATGGGCCCAACGGGGAGTTCAGAAATGCAGGTTGTAATGATTGTCTGGAGATTTGGACCAAGGCTACCCCCAAACGGGCTGCTCCCCACCTCCTTCTGATGAACGTAATGGGAGCAAAATTTCAGATTGATTCCTCTACCCTCATCAAGTTTTATAGGATAAGCCCTATGAAAACACAGCCACTTCTTTCTTAAATTTTCTAGATGCGCTTTCTGAACTGCAGAAATGGACGCAAGGACCCTTCCAAGTCCATTCTGGATGTTGGCGTGGAAGAAGCAATCAAATTCAGTGGCTTTGATGAAAAGATGTTTCTGAAGCGAGGAGGGAAGTACGTATGGAGCAAGGCAGACTTGAAGTTGGACTGGTGACGCTGAGATGCGACAGGATTCCACGCGCTGGGGGAGAAATGCCAGATGCAGCCACCACCGCTGCCGTGACAAACCACTGGTCTTTCTTCTGGCCAGAAGTCTGATTTCCTCCTGAACAACACATCTGATTACCTGTGGACCCAGAGTCACCTGCAGACTCCTGCAGTCTTGTGGATAATGCCTGCAGTCTGTGGACAATGCATAACCACAGCTGGTTGGCTTTGTAAAAAGCACTTCTGGTTTGATTTTATTTGGGTTTTCTGTTTTGTTTTAAAGGAGCAGAATGGAAGAATGATAATCAAAAGAAAGCATACATTATCCACCTACTTCCAGGACCTATAACCCACTTCACAGATGCATTGTGGGAAATGAGCCCCAGCCATCTCTATGAGACCAGTGTCTGTGTTTGATTTTTCCCTTTGAGTAATTTTACTGCAATTCCTTTGTTTTCATCTTGAAGCTATTATTTTTACAGTATTTAAAAAAATTTCTCAGAGTCAGTTCCTTTTGAGACCAAATATATACTGAGATGCCAGCTTTCCCATCTGGACGCATTACCAAGTATATTTACCAATAATTTCTGTTTGTTGCAGCACTTCTTTTCTGCCTTTATTCCACTGAAATCTTTTATTCAGAAGTGAAGAAAGGGTAAACAGAGAAGCTCGAGAACCACTAAATGTGAATATCATTGCTGCCAGGAGGACTTAGCACAGAGAAGAGGGAAAAGTACTTCCTGAGTGTGCACACGGTGACTGTGGCGGGAGTCCATGCTGGGTCTCTTCCAAGATTCCTGGCAAAACCAAGATCCACTCTACATCTCCTGATGATAAGATAAGGGTGGTGATGGAAGACTATGCCAGCCCGTTACTGAGGCCACACATGTCTGTCAAGTAAAACCAGGAGTTCTTTAGAATAGCTGACTGTCTTCTTGTGTTGTGCAGTAACAGTGGCTAGCTAAGCACTGGAAGCTAAAGCCACAATATCCAGGATTAAAGGAGAACATGTGCCTGGGATTTGTGCAAATGGAGTCACAGAACCCTATTCTATTTCTCAAGTAATCCTAATCAGTGGAAATAAGATACAGTGTAATATGAAAGGACCCAGTCCCTTTTCTAGTTCTCCCAAAGAAAGAGTAAGAGAATGTTACTTAATCAAACTCTTCCTCTTGTTGGTCTGTTGCATGTAGTTTAGTTACGTGTAACTAGAAACCATCTAACTGCCTGGAAAATAACGATTTCCTATCATTGTTTTAGAGAAACAAAAGCAATGGAAATGTTTGTTTTGCCCCCAGCCCAGTCATTTAATTTAGCCGCAATTCCAGTGGGGGTCACTAGAGGGCGCTTGGTGTCTGATATCATTAAGCACCTGTGAGAAACTCCACCCGCCCTGGGGATTGATCCCAGTACTTTGTGTGGGACTTGGTGAATTGAAAAGATTTGCTTTTGTGATTTCTTTCTCTTATAAAACGCTTTCCAAGTTCAATCATTGTTATAATTGGCCTATGATTATGGTTCCCTTCAAGACAGGAGAGCTGTGTTTTCTGTGCTTAAAAATAAAAAATAAACGATTTTTCTCTGAGGGTTTTGATATTATGTAGACTATGCAGACTGTGTGTAATCAGCTTAAACTTGAAACTTTTAGTAGAAGGGAGTGAGCTTTGATTCCCAGTCAGACGCCAGGGGTACAGTCAGTGCGGGTTTCTCAACCTGAAGCCAAGCTGGAGTGCCCTTCATTCTAGCTGAGGAAACTACATCTCTCTTTCTCCTGAAGAAAACATATATAAAACAAAACAAAATGCCACTCAGGAAGTAACCCATTCTCAGGACATTTTCTAGCTGTTTTATCTTCTAACCCCTCACTCTTCACACAGCAGCTTGGGATTTGTAAGGCTTTCAAATAGCCACCTATCTTTTTCCTGAATTAGAGAAATAGGAACTTTTAGCTTCAGAGCAAACTTCAAATGTGGATGAGTGTTTTGTTCTGCTTTCTCATTCTTACATATGACTGTGGGTTTTGTGAAACCCTTTGTATTAGGAAAGGGAAAGGGAAATTGACTGCAGTTTCTGAAGTGTGTACAGAAATTGTGTGCCTAAATCTTGCTTAAGTTAAAATAAGATTTAACACATGAAGCCTAAATAGACAGGACAAAAGGAATTATTTACTGCATACCAAGTACTCATCATCTCTGTACTTACTGTTCAATGACATGGCTGTTGCTGTGTTCTTTCAAGTTTGAATGTGAAAAGAGTCATTTGGCTGAAATCTCTGGAGAACGGGCTTATGTTTTGTTTTATCATTGGAGTTTGGCGTCTAATCATTGCATGGAACCTAATATGATCGCAATCAGATTCCTTTCAAAAATAGCTCATCCTGCACCCTACCCTCTCATGGAGAAAAATGTGCCTAGACAGAGACCAAGCACTCAGGCTTTGAGTAAGTATATGAAGTTGTTTTTAGGGAATGCACATTTTCATTTAGGACACTCAGGCATAGATCTAATATATTGTAACATTGCATATATTAAAATATTTTTGCACCTTCCTTCTCTCTCGGTGGTTTGATGTTATGAATCTATCTTTGGCATATATTTGGAATAATTATGTACTGTTACAAACTGACCACTAAAGGCAACTAGGCATTAGAAATCATCAAGGTCATCAATTATTCATGAGCCCACCCTGCAGAAATACTATGTGGAGATAACCACTGAGGAAAATACTCCTTGAAAATTGAAGCCAGCAACTTGGAGACCCTGTACCCCCAAATCTGATCATCTTAAAGGACCAACCCCTGCGCGGATGTCAAAGGCTCCAAAGCCCTTCCAGCCGCCACAAGGGTGGGGTGCTGCTGTTCTTTTGTGACCTGGGAAGAAATAACAGCGTGGATCAAACTAAACCCCCTTCCCAGCCCCAGTACCCAGTCCCTGCACGGCTACAGGGAGCTGCCTCTGGCATCGCCATGAGCAGACTCACACTGCAGAAGTGCAAGACATCATAGTCAGCTCAGCTGCAGCCAGTGGATCCTCACAACCTGCCTCTCCCTCCAGAGTGACAGCGCAGTGCAAGCCAGGGGCCGGGGACAGCAAGTTCCCACCAAGGTCTGTGGGCCTCAGTGAGGTGGTGTACAGGTGGCATAAATGGTGGTGTAAAACCAGCAAGGCCTCCGAGAGGGGGAGGAGGCAGGACATGCGGACAGACCTAGTGCCAGAGGGACAGCAGGTGGCATGTTACACGACCTTCCAAGGGTGGGTAGCACTGTACCCTGAATTTTAGCTGTCCAGTCCACTGCTGACGTCTCTGTGAATGCGGATGGCTGGGTCGTGTGAGCCAGCAGCGTATGAACTGTCTGCGTGTTCTCAGCCTGCCTTCCCTCCCGCCCCAGCTCCCGTGTCCCCCTCCCCCCCTCCGTCCACAGGCCCTCCTGTCTTGGACTTGGCCCTCCTCAGATGTATCATAGTCTCCTGCCTGCTCCCTCCTGCACGGGAACTCCAGATGGCAACAGGTCCACCTTGGGGGAAAAGTGTGTCCCCCTGAAGCCTATCTAGAAGCCTCCTAGTCCTCCCCAAGAGGACAGAGCTTCAGGAATGCAAAGACAAGATGGAGGCTGCCAGAGTCTGCTATCCTGGTGGCCAGGCTCCAGTGACCTCATTTCAGGGACACGGCTCAAGCCCCCACAGACATGTGTCCTCAGCAAATCTCACAGAGAAACCTCACGGGTATAATCAACCCAACTCAGATGCCAACCTGATGAGCTAGATACATCAGAAATACTTAGACATACGCACTTGAAGAACGTTTAAAAGGTAGATGAGGCAAAAGGAGGAAAATAAAACTCGTTGTCACTGCATCACCCAGAGGTAACTATTCATTTAGCTCATGTTGTTCCAGTTATGCATGGGGTTTACTGAAATGGAGCCTATACCCAAGCATTTTCTTCCTCCATAAAACCTTCTGAAGGTTTTCAGGGCTAATTAGCATTTTTTTACTTTAATAAGAACATCCAGTCCTGAACAGTTCAACTAATAGATGTGAAGACATTCAATAGCATTCAAAAAACCCCCAAAACAACACCACAGCTGACTAGAAAACCACCATTGTATTGGGTTTATATGTTCTCTACGTTGTTTTTTATGACTGCGAGTGTATCTCACGCCGTGTGGATTCACATATCTGTGGGACATGTTTATATACAGCTGTGAATTGCATCTGGTCCAAGGCTTGGACCCATCCCATGGGAACATTGAGAGGGGATGGAACCCTCAGGAGGCGGGGTCTACAGAAAGGAAGTGGGGTTGCTGGGGGCGTGGCCAGGGGGAGTTACTGGGACTCCCACCTTTTATCTTCTTGCTTCCATACAATGTGCTTCTCCCATGATGCGCTTACTTTGTCCTCACAGGTCCACAAACAACTGTGCCAAGCACCCGCGGACTGCATCCTCATTCCTCCAGGGGTTGGGAAGCTTCCCCAAAGCTGCTTTCCACTCAGCCCCCCCTCCCCGTGTCCCTGACACCCTCCTCACATTCCAAATGGACTGACTGACTTCTCCCAGTTCTCTCTTAGTGCCTAGGATAGAATGTGTTTTCAAGGAAAATCCTCCTCACCAAGAACTTGGTCTCGAGGTGTCAGAAAAGCCTGTGCACATGTAAAGGCGGTGCTGTTTATGGAGCCAATGACCTCATGGTTGCTTGAAGTATGACAACGGGACCTGCTGCAGCAGGTGGAGCGGATGGCAGGCGTTCAGGTCTACTCCAGGGGAACTAACTTGCATCAGTCATCTTAGCTGCCCCGGCAAAACACCACAACATGGTTGGCTTCAACAACAGGAGTGTGTTTCTCGAGTAGACAAGGTGTTGATTGAGTTTAGTGTTCTCTTCCTGCCTTCCAGGTGCTAGCCTTTCTCTGTCTGTCTCTCTTTCTCTCTGTCTCTGTCTCCCTCTCTCTCATACACACACACACACACACACACACACACTTCCTCTTCTTATGCCCTCACAGTCCTCTCAGACTAGGGCTCCACTCTTATGATGTCATTAGACTGCAATTACCTACCAAATACCAAATACCTCTCCACATTCAGGCCAGGCTCCAACATATGAAGCTGATGCAGCAGAGTTCAGTCACACATAACATTGACCATGGTAAGGTCCGATCTGAGCAAGGTCAGATTTAGATGGTCCTGTGAGGAGGAGGACTTGATGACTCTTAGAAAGTTCCAGTTAAATACAACCTTCCCTTGCCTGTGACACAGCCTCAAGTCTTCCTCACAACTGAACCTGATCTCCTACAAACTCAAGAAGTTTGGAGAAATATCAAACAAAAATCTTATTTTTGTCAAGTTGTGGTGGGAACAGATTAGACACATACTACTTTTCTCCAGGTTCAGGCTGGGTGAGGGGAGTAGAGAGAATAGTAGGGAAATGAGCTATTTCCTAGTTCTTTGCCTTCCCTAACTAGGTGACATCTAGCAGGACCTTTTTGAACCCAAAGTTTACTTCAAGAATGGCTTGGTATAACCAGAACTGAGCTGGACATCACAGGAAATATCAAAGTAGAGGAGTCAGCATTTCTACTTTTGAGAAATCCAGAAACTTAGGATAAGAGCCAGGCACACAAAACAGCTAAGTCAGAGACAGGCCAAGGAGCGAGAAGGCTGGCTCAATCTTTGCAGTTATGGGATTGAGGAGAAGATTATTTTGATTTCCCTCTGTGTGATTAAGGGTGAGATACTCAGGTTCTCACCAGCAAGATATGTCCTCAGCAGCGAATGAGGGTCTGTGAGGGCTGGATCTAAACTCTTCCACTCTGGGTGATGGGGCTTGGGTGATAACTGCTGGAATTTGGGAACTGATTCTATCACGAAGGCTCTGATTTTATCAGGGGACCAATCGTGAATAGGCTCATGGGTCAATGGTATTGTTGGGAGTTAGTGGGAAGTAGGGGGCAGAGTCTAATTGGAGGAAGTTTATTGGTGTAGGTGTGCCTCAAAGAGCAGGCCTTGTCCCTGGACCTTCATTCCTCTCTGCTCCCTGGCTGCCATGGGTGAGCAGCTCTGTTGTTCCCAGCCCTCCCCACCTCCTCCCCTTCCCCAGCACAGGCCCAAAGTGAAGGAGTTATGTGGCCATGGGCAATCTCAGAAACTGAGCCAAGATAAATGCTTACTGAAGTGGTCTGTGTCAACTATTCTCTCATGGTGGCAAAAAGAAGCTAATGGCACCTAAGACCGAGATGCGTGGAAGGACTTGAGTTACTTACACAACTGGTCTAAGGTAAGCATGGATGTCTGTGGCTTACAATGGTTTGAGATCACACATTTTGATGCAACAAGGCTATAAGGCTGATGTATGTATTTCAAGAGAAATTGTACTTCCAAGTTAGGCTTTTAATCTTCTCCAGGCCAGGAGATGTGGCCCATACTGCTGAGCAGTGGGACAAGGTGCAGCTCCCTGTGCACCCCACAAACCCCTGGAGAGTTGCCTGACTCTTCAGCAGTCTGTGTTCCTAAGCTGTGAGTCTCCATGGGCTGGGTCTGTTACTTGTGATATTCTCAGTTTCTGGTCCCCTATTGAGATTTAATCCCATAATAAAGCCCAGACCATCTGCCTCTGGTAGTTACTGATGAGTTATCACATGAGTGTCACTTTTCACAATCTGGAGTAATTTTGTATGAAATTATAAAACTTTCCCTCTGGTTCTTTTTGATTCAAAATGCCTATTAAGAATCCATGATGTTTGTATTTGAATGATAGAGAGTAGAAAAGAGCAAAGTTTGTTTAATAGCAAAACAAGACAATGTTTCTATTTTTTGGAAGAATAACAAGAAAAACAGCATTACCGTCTCATTAACATATGAACCTTGTATTTTCCCACTTTTGGATGGCTCTTTGATTTTCATTGCCACATGTAGGCTCTCAATTGTAATCACTCATGAATCCATTCCAGGTGCCAGTCTTAGTTTGCTAAGGTAATGGCAGAAATGTACTGTCTCACAGATGTGGAGGTGTGTCATGCAGACACCAGGAGAAACAGAGAGCATAGATGTATATTAATACACATGTTGCAATCGACTCATGTGATTATAAGCAAGTCCCATGATCTGCCACCTGTGACCTGGAGACCTTAGAATGGTGATGGAATTCAGCTTGAGATCACAAGTGTTAATCTGGAGGTGTGGTGGGCAGTCTGGATGCAAACTGGTGTAAGTTCTAGAAACTGAAGCCTAAGAGCCAGGAGTTCTGACATGGGAGGGCAAAAGAAGTCTAATGCTCCCCACCAGAGAGCAAATTCGTTTCTGGTCCACCTTTCTGTTCTCTTTGAGCCCTTGGTGGGTTGGGTGATTCATCTTAGAAACGAGGCTTGGCTAGCTATGTGGGCAGCCGATGGCCCAGTCAAGTTGACAACCATAACAAACACAAGGGAATCAAAGTCTGCAATCCAGGTGCGGGCTGGTCCTTGTGAGACACTGAGGATCTGTTCCAAGTCTCTCCTCGGCATCCAGCCATTCATTGACCATCTTTGGTGTTTCTTGGTATGTAGGAAGCATCACGTCACCCCTGATGTCACGTTCATGTGACTTCTTCCTTGGGTGTGTGCACACATATATATGTGTATGTGACTACATTTCCCTACTCTGTAAGGAGAGTAGTCATGATGCTTCAAGGCCCACCCTACTCCAGTGTTACTCCATCTGAACCGGTACCATGTGCAATGGGCCTTTATCCCAACGGGCCACATTCTGAGTTACTGGAGGTTAACATCTTCCACACAACTTTTTGGGGGGAAACAGAGAGGACACACACAATTCACTGCCGGTGTCCTTATATGACTGCAATGGTGAAGTGCCTTCTTCATTTCCACTTTATTTCTTGAAGTTGTGTTTGACACTGTTGGACCACAACTTCTCTGCCCCGGCTCATGTGGATGCTACACCCACTGGTGAGATGGTGAGAGAGGAGGGGTGTGTTCGAGTGTTGGGAGATGAGCAGAGTGGGGGAAAGTTTCTCAAAAAGCACCCAAGAGTGGAACTCTTCTCCAGTGGTTGGCTTAGCCCTGGGAGTGGGGGAAGCGACACAGAGCCACACATTCGTGGAACGCAGTGTGTGCTTCCTGCAGAGGGCAGCCTGGCTTCTGGGGGTGAGTGTGTAAGTAGCTGCAGATGAGGGATGAGAGGTCACACCCCTCAGCCCCAGGACCACAAATCCCCCGGAGTCTGGTGTGTCCCTAAGGAGAGGGTCAGGATGAAGACGGGTATTTTTATATTTCCTACCACTCTCTAGAAGTAGGAAATTGTATTTAAGTTAAAAAAATTTAAAGAAAACAGAACGCAAATTTTCTGGGCTTACAGAATGTGTGAACATACATTCACACAAACTCCATTGTCTATTTTGTTCCTTTAAGCCACAAAGGTGAATCTTTAACTTCTTTTTTTTTTTTTGTCTGTAAGAAAATCTTCAGAATGGATTTCCAGTTCTCCGGCCTCTGAACCATTTGCATCAATACCACTTCTCTGGCTGGCTTTCTCCCTACTATGTACTGCCGTTGTAAGTAGTCTCAAAAACACATGTTCAGTGAGGGGTGGTGAGCCAGGCTGCCATTGGCACCAACATGAGCAATGGATGTCTTGTAAAAGGGCCAGCATGACCACCTGGGGCGGATGGGTCAGTCACGGCCTGTGCAGGGGGCAGAAGTAAAGACCAACCTGATGGGCAGAACGACTCTGAGAGAGTGGACAGCTTGCTGCTTATTGCTGGAGAGCACCTGGTCCCAGAGGGGCCACGTTTTCTTGCAGTGGAGCACTTCCTAAGCTCGGGCCTATGGGGGAATCCCATGCAGGAATGGGCCCATCACTATTCTGTAGACTCTTCAGATCAGACAGAAAATGCCAAAGCACCCAGAGTGGCAGACAGGGTCCAGCCTCTATCCCTCCACCCTGTTTTATTGGGATCTTGGTCTACTGGGGGGGGGGGGGGGAAGGATGGTAGATTTGGAAGGCCTCAGAAAGAAAGTTATACCCGAGGTGCACTTCATGACCTGCTGGGAATTGTGCTTTATAACCTAATGTAGGGGTCCTCTCTCTGTGTCTCTCCAGTCAGATGAGGGTTGGTTTTGCTCCTCACCCCAGATACACCTCCACAGTCTCTCCAACTTTATTTCTACTTCCTGGTTTCATAATGAAGCTGTGTCAGTGCAGTCCTCTTCATCTGGGAATACGTGTGGAGTGATTTCAGTCCCATTTCCCAGGCCTTCCTGGTTGGCTTAGTCATAACTCTAACTGGTGCCCAGCAGGCCAAGGCGGTGTGCATGCATGTACCTCAACGAGGCCCTCGGACAGACCTGTCTCCATCTTTTACTGAGAGACCAGAGTAAGAAAACTCCACTCTTCAGGTTCTTCATGTTGGGAATAACTGACCATGTCTCTAAAAGAATTTAAAACCAAAGCCCCAGAAGGCAAGTGCTCATGCGTATTTGAAGAGAAGATACATTTAGCAGAATAACTTCAATAGCGATCAGCCTCTTTCTCTTTCTTTCTTTTTGTAGTAAACATACCCATGTAGAAGACAAAGAGCAATTGGAAAGAACCCCAAGGTGGCTAAAATGGTTGTGGTTTAATTCACTGGAGAAATGAGCTCACCCACAGAGTAGGGGGACCGTGGAGAACTTAGTGTATCAGTGATGTTATTTACCGTGTGAAACCCTTTACTACATGTCACCTGCGTGGTCCGCCTGAGAAAATGGAAGAATTACGGTTGGGTGGATTTGTAGAAGCTCCACCCCAGGGGCTCTGTGTCTGTGGGGGGAGGGGAGACGTGGAGGGGGGAGGAGGAGACCAGCGTGGATCCCCCCTCCCCATAACTCTGGAGGATGGAGAACCTGAACACCGAGGTGTCCCTTCCTCTGAGCACGTCTGATGCAGACATGAACCTTGAGGTTCACCAGAGGTCGTGGCCAGAAGGTGGGAATTCTACTCAGACAAGCCATAAGCACCTTACAGAAGAGGAAGGCGTGGCGGTGCGGGCACGGACCCGCGGACAGGCGGACCAGGCTGACCCCGAGCCAGGCGCTCCGATGTCACCTCTCGGGAGCCCAGCCCGGCTCTCCGCCCTTTCCTGGCACCTGGTTTGGGGGACACCTCTTTCCTGGCCCCAGGCTCTGGTTGGTCAGGAGGCCTCCATCACACGCCTTCGTCCGTCCGCAGCCGGGGTGCGGGGGAGGAGGCTTGGGGTCTCCCATGCCATTGACCCTTCTTAGGCCTGCAAGCCCCGCTCCCCGGTCTCCCTGCCCCGCTCCGCCGCCAGGCGCGCCCTGGGGCCGCGCGGGCCTCGCGGTGCGCGCCGGGGGCGGCAGGGGGCGCCGGCGAGCAGGGGAGGCGGCCGGCCCCCCGCGAGCCCGCGCTCGGCTCGGGGCGCGCCCGCGTCCCCGCTCGGCGGAGGGTGGGCAGGGGAGGAATAAAGGGCGCTGCCGGGCGGGCGGGCGGGCACGGCGGCACCGCGGGCGGCGCCAGGCGGAGTCGTCGGAGCTGCGCGCCGGGACCGCGCGGCCAGGTAGGTGACGCGCGCCCTCTTTGTGTCGGCATCGCCGGAGCCGCGCGCGCGGGGCGGCCGGGGGCTCGGCGGGCTCGGCCTCGGGGGACCCCGCGAGGCGCCGGGGACCGCGCGGGCTCCGCCCCCCCCCCCCGCGCCCGCTCCGCCGTGAGCGCCCGCCCGGGACCCGCCGAGCCCGCCCGCCACGCGGCTCCTCGGGACGCGGGGCTGCGGCGCTGCGCCCGGCCCTCCCCGCCCGCATCGCCCCTCCCGGGGGCGCCCGCAGGCCCGGGGCCCGGCCTGAGTGGTGGGCAGGGCGGGAACGCTCGGGGGCCGCCCGAGGCGAGGGGGGACAGCGCCCCTCGCCGCCCGCCTGCGCTCCGGGGCGGGCGCCCCGCCCTCCGGCCCGCCGGGGCGGCACCGCGGGGTCTCCGCCGCCCGGGCCCGGGCACCCCGCGGGTCGGGCCTCCGGGCTATGGGGAGCGGGATCTGCGCCCTCTAACCGTCCTCCCGGGCGGGTCTCGGGACGGTGCTCCGAAAGTTTGCGGCGTCTCCGGTGTTGTGTGCCCAGACCGTGCCCGGATCGGTGCCCTGCGAGCAGCGCCGCGCGGGGCCATGGGCCGGGCAACGGGCGTGGACACAGTCCGGGGGGTCCGGAGGCCCCGCTTGCGTGCACGCGGCGTTCCGGGGGAGGCGGGGGCCCAGAGCTGCAGGGCAGGCCCGAGGGACCGGCCTGGCCAGTGTAGCCAGCCGGTATATAGCCGCCTATCAGGAGGATGCCAGGCAGAAGGGAAGGAGGCCGGAGCGCCGAGACGCGAGGGGCTGAGCGAGAGGGGCCCTGGGTGCAGACCCCAGCCCCGGGGATTGGGGAGGTGTGGCAAGGTTGTGCCTGGACCCCCCCGGGGTGGTGTTGGCCCAGTGTCTTTGAAGGAGACCAAAGTTGTGTCTACTTCAGGAAAGAGAAAGAGGTTGGGGGGGGGGAGGAATCATCTGGGGGTTACAAACGAGCTTCAGACCAAAACTCTGGGCTTGGCCTGGTGGGGTTGACCTGGTGGGGTGGTAGCCCCTGAAGAGCCCTGAGCGATGGTGAGGGGAAGGGGAGGGGATTTAGAGTTAGGGTCCTCCTCCTATCCCCCCCAGGATGTCACTTGCAGCAGACGTAGGTGACTGAGGATCTGGAGGGGCATCTCCATGCTGAGACTGGAGTTTGGGAGTTGGTGTTTTTTCTGATGATGCCCAGATTCCAATGTGAGCCTCCCCGGGCCCGGCCAAGGGACACTAAGGAGGGGGAACCGAAGTACCAGAGAGTCGGGCTCCCTCAGGCTGTGCAACCCGCTGGTGTTCTGGAAACCTGGAGTCCTGCCAGGTTTGTGAATTTTATAAATGCATTCAGCACCTTCAGGATGCTGGATGGTAATGCCAATTTCCAGAAGGTTCCCGGGCCCTCGTGTGGGGTCGGGGACTTTGAAAGGACTTCACACACTTTACCTGAGGCTGCTGGTGCTGCGGGAGAATTCTTGCTCAGCCTGGGACCACAAGATTCTGGCAGAACTGGAATCTACCAAGCAACCACACCGTCTGACCCAGAGAATGCTGATTTTTCCACTGGGACACTCTCCTATTTGGTCTTGCTGCCTTCTTTTGTTCAAATTTCTCTTCCCTCTTGGGAATGAGATGGAATATTCATCTGCACCCTGCACCCTCGCTGTGGAGACATATGCCAGGGCATTTGCCCAAGCAAGGACTCCATCTTCTTGGAGTCAGGACCATCAGAGGCTGTCCGAAGTCTGCGGGGAAGGCTAGCTAGCATCTTCCTAGGACATTGGACATCACTGCTCAGGGGTCCTTTCTAGCTTTCAAGATCAAAGAACTAAAGTCAGGTGCCTGACTTTGCTTCCTTCAAGTCTGGCAAAGTCCTGTGAAGTGAAAGAGGCCCAGCCTCCTCTCTCCTTTGTTTCTGCATTGCTGACGATAGATACCTTTTCTTAATTAGATGGAGAAGGTAAGGAAGCCACTGTTCACACCTCCCCCCCCACACACACACCCTTGATGCCTGACCGTAAGTCCAGGAACCCATGTCTCCACCTCCCTGGACAGCCCTGGTTCTCTCACGATGGCTCTGAGATGTCAGCTTGACATCTCATTTTCATCATGAAGAATGGAAGAATGCCCTGCTTCAGCAGCGTTTTCCAGACAACCCACCACATACAACCTTTTTTGTGTTTTAAGGGGGAACAGATAATATTTTAACTCTCAGAAGGGCAGCTGTTCTCCAAGGTTATTTGTTGAGAAATGAGTCTGGGACAGAAGAGCCTCCGTCTCCTTCCATCTTCTTCCTATGAAGCTAATAATGCCTGAGTTGGAAGTTGCCTCCTGGCGATCCTGCCAGCTTCTCTGGGGAGTGAGTTTGCAGGGCGAAGGCTGTGGCAGACAGAAGTCACTTCCTGATGGCCTGATATTGTACGTCAGCCAGGCTTTGGTCATCTCCTGTGCTTGACCCTGAATGGGAGGAGACAGTAGTTAATATTCACTAAGCACCGGGCACATGCCAGGCTGGCATCGGCCATCCGTACTTTGTGTAGATTTCTGTCTCAGTCGTGGTCTGGGTGTGTGTTTCTACCCCCACCTGGCTGGGGGAGACAGAGGCCTAGAGCAAGCAGACAAGTTGTCGGAGGTGCCTGGTGACGCCTGGCTTTGACACCAGAGGCCTGGAGGTCCACTGGAGTCCAAGTTCACCGGGCAAATTAATTAGAGGCTCAAGGTCAGAATCAGGGCCGCAGCCAGCTGTGAACTTAGAGGTTTGACCTTTGTGTGGTGGAGAACGTGGCCTTTGTCTCTCAGCTCTTCCACCTGAGGTTCCTTTTGAAGCCCTGTAGTTTCTTTCATCTGTGGCATCCTGGCAGTGCACTTACATTGGTCTTGTTTCCTTTGAAGCCTCTTTCCTGGTGTTTCCTCCATTTCCCTCTCCCACTTCCAGTTCTGCTGGGTAGGGGCGAGGGTCCAGGGAGGGATGGCAGCAGTCACTGTCCTCCTCAGTCCAGGAACATGGTTGTCTGGTTCAGTGGCCTGAGAAGGCTGGGGAGGGGGGATTTGTAAAGTCTCAATGCTGCCTTGGGCCCAGCATGGGTCTCCTCCGGGAGCCAACTGCTCTACTGCAAAAAGGGAGCTCAGTCTGAAAGTGGAGGATGACAGCACAATCTCCCTGTTAGGTGATGATCACCCACTGTTCTGCATCTCACCTAGTCATACACGTACCTCTCTAGCACCTTGCTCTGGGGAGAGCCTTTCAGGCTTCCAAGGAGGAGTTTTCTAGCAACCCGCTGGACCAGGACAGGCTTGATGCTGGCTGCTCTGCCTGGGCGATGCCCTGTTGGCTGCGCAGACAGTTGACCTTGGCGAGCACATCTTGGGGTGCAAACCTATGACCCAGCCCCCAGCCCATGCCCTGTGGCCTACTCCTCCCTCCTCACCCGCTGTTCCTACCTTAATGAAGTGTCAATAGATAATTCACGTTCCATACTGGATCCTCAGATTCCTACCTGGCTGACCCTACCCCTTCCCCATCAGGACCTCCCCCAGGGCAGAGTGGGAGCCTGCTGTGTGTTAGAGACGCCTCTGTCTGCTGGTAGAGACAGCCTCTGCAGGGAGGGGCTGGGGGTTGCTTCTTGCAGAGCGGTGGGCAGAGTTTGGCATAGACAACCTCTCTTTTTTCCCTCTTAACTCAAACTTTCTCTGAACTATGTGGATTTTAAACCCACGTCCTCGCAGATATTTTTGAACTGTCTTGGGACGCTGTGGGTTGGCCCTCAGGTGTATCTCAGCACTCGTGGTCACTCCCTGCTCACACACTACCAATACCCAATGCCCCAGGCTCCTGGATGGCCCTGGGTGGAGCAGCCTGGAATCCTAGCCCTTGGGTCCATCCTGGCTTCCCAGGGCTGATCACCAACAGTGTGGACCTGGCTGTCGCCCTGCTCCGTCAGATTCCTGGGGATCCCCTCACCAGGAAGGCCCACCACAGAGACCCCCCTTTTCTCATAGCCCCAGGGGTGGCTCCTGAGATCTTTTCCAGGACTGGCCTTGGAGAGAGGAAGTCGGGGTTCTGAGCGGAAGTGGGGCGGGACTGCAGGAGTGCCCGCCGCTTGATCCGGGGGCTTGCTCTGCTCCCAGCTGGCAGGTTCGCTTCTCCCCGAGGTACTTCCATAGCGACTTTTCTTAGAACCTATAATTGCATTGATCTAGTCTAATTTTAGTGATTTGTTTAACCCTTATTTCCTCTACTCAATTACACGCTGTACCAACGCAGGAACATTTTCATTTCTGTGTCCCCCTGTGCACGTCAAGCTCCTCCTGAGTGTCTGTGATCCTTTCGGAGGGAAGCTGTGGGTGGACGGGGAGTCTGGATTCACTTCTCCGGCAGGAGCAGAGCATTATTTGGCGATGCTGGGTCTCTCGGGCCCTTCTGGAAATCTGGGTCTGAGAGCAGTGCATAGCCCTAGCGGGCTTTGGCTTGGTTCTGGTGTGCTGTGCTCAGTGTGGAGGGAAGCCTTGGGATACTAGGGTGGTTCTGTGGCAGTGTAGACAACAGAGAGACCAGTTTAGACCAGTCCCAACATAACAGACACAGGCTTTTAATTTATTTTGTAGTGGTGGTACTGGCGTTCAAATTCAAATTAGTCTCCTTTTGTCCAGACTGGCCTGGAAATGTGATCCTCCTGTCTCTGCCTCCTGAGTAGCTGGGACTAGAGTTTGTCTGTCACCATATGTTGCCCCCAGGAGCCATCTTTTCTGAGCCATGCGGGGTTCCTTGTGTTCTCTGGGACATCCTGGAGGTAGAGGCACTGAGCTCTAACCATCTAGGACGGTGGAATAGAAAGTCCTGCTCCAGGCTGTAAGAGCCAGCACCTCAGGATGGAAATTTTTTTTTTTTTTTTTGGTGAAAACATGTGTGTTTCTTCCTGATCACTTGGCAGGTGTTAGACACTCACAGTCCCCTGGATGAGCAGGTCGGAACTGACCCC